TGAATCGGCACCGTTTTAGCTTTGCGTAGTGGCTATAACTCAGATGTTTCGTATTTTGCAGAGGTTCCATTCCCGCGAGATTTTCGACAAACATGTAAAAAGATACTGACAAGATTGTTCCGAGTCTTTGTTCATATTTATATACACCACTTCGATCGGTTATCACAATTAGGAGCTGTGAGTTCTTTTTCAACAGTACCTAGAAGTAATTTATAATACAAATGTCTGTATTGATTATAATGTTCCAAGATATGGTATTTATGCTATCCTTTTAGGAACCTCATGCAAACACTTTATACAAACATTTTTACTATTTTATCACTGAACATCAAATGGTTTCATCACGTGAGTTAGATGCGCTGGCAAGTTTTTTTTTTTTTTATACTTTATTACAGAATAGGAATTAGAAATGCTCGGGTTGAATTAGCATTAATTTTTGAGATTTCGTATATTTTTTGTACATGCGGGATAAACGAATGTTTTAGAAGGAAATGACACAACGGTTGATTGTTAATTCTGGCAACCGACGAATTCGTGTTGAATGAAAGCTAATGAGGTTTTCTAAGCCTCTTGTCTGGCTGTTTGCCAATTTCCGGCTGTGAACACTTTAATCTTGAACACTTTGTCCCATTGTGGCAAATATTTTGTGTAAGAATTATTTCACTGAGTTATCTCAATGAAACTTGTAAAAGATAAATGACGACGATCTTTTGTCTCGACCCACTTGTATTGTCATATATACGATGATAATTGTACTAGTTGATTTAAATATTTGTACTTTTCTATAAATAACTGTCACATTTGTACAAAGTTTTCAGCGCTATATAGCATTAGTTTGTTCTTATGCGAAAATTTGTGTATTAAATTGAAATGTTATCAGTGGATATACTTACAATATAGTGATTTTAATACTTACATTTAATAAATTGAAAACGTTGGAAGAATCCACAGTGTAGATTTCTGTCTTTATGCATTGGATCGGTGGTCTTTGTGTTTTGTAAAGAAATTGATTCTTGAGATATTACATCGGAAAGAGTAGTAATGTTTGGGTGGCAGTGTTCATTCGGTAAAAAATTAAATTTGTGTTCGGTTAATTAAGAAAAGTTTTAATTTTTAAAGAAATTGGATTGCTGCGTACTCTTTTATTTATGAATCTTGAACTGTTTTTCGTGGGTGCAACAAAACATAATAATTGAAAACAAAATTCCCTCAGTACGAATTTCATGGTGAGACATTCTTGGCATTAGCTGTACCACACAAGTCAGTAAAGCACTAAGCAAAGTATAAGCACAACTGAAACTTTCAGTCATATGGCTTAAACATTACACTCTCACTTCTGTTACCCAAACTTTCTCGCATGTATCTTCAGATAATCTGTATGTAAATATCAGCTTTGTCGCTTTGACCAGCAGATCATGTACATTTAAATCATTTTAAATTTCAGTCTTCCTATACAATCATTTGTTTGTCTAATATACTTTAACTGTTTTTTTCGATTTACATATCTCTCCCAGGCTTTCCTCATTCTGGCGATTTTGTCATCCACTCTTGTTGTACTTTGTCCGAAGTTAATTGAATTACATCTTACATTTTGTGATGAAACTTTTTTTAAAGTTCTGAAAAATGATGTCAGCTTACAAAGAATTGATGATATTTACATACATATTATCTGAAGATACATGTGGTCATATACATTGCACAAATGAATTACTAGTTAGGTGTAAGTTTTGCGTACTCTGCTATTTGCTCCGATTCTATCATTCCAAACGGAGGACAGCACTCGAAAGATGACAATGTTCGCCAGAGAACCACTTATGTACGCTTAGTCGTATGTACAGTACCGCTGCATATATATATATATGTATAAATAAGATTCTTGCTTAGTCATACTTTCAAATAGAGACGATTGATTCATCGAAGGTTTTTTTTTTTTTGAAAAATAAAATGGAACTTTGCAAAAATGTTGCTGCTAGAGTTTAAGCAATAAAACGCAACAAATAGCATCACTTTTGTTGGCTGCTTCCTTAATCTCTGTTCTTCCTCTGTGAAAAATTATACAAAAGTTCAAGGCGATGCTTATTCCGTCGAGTTTTTTGTTGTATGTAAGATAGAAAAGATTGATTGGAAATGGTGATGACAGTAATTGGTCCAACTCAGAAGTTTAATTTCAACTTAAAATTGAACTTTTTGAATAGGACAAATTGCTCACTACCTCTGATGCTCAATAACTGTTCCCTTCACTACTATATCCTTTTGCCTGACAATGGCATCAGCCCAGTGTTTCACATTGATGATTCTCGTCCAGTTCATTCCTCCGTCAAATAATATATTGCTGCTGATTTGTCGTACTTTCAACGTTCCGTTTCTAACAGCACAGCAAATTTTCTCTCGCAATCTCCTATTCCATTGCATTCTTTTTGTCCTGTTCAATCCTGTTTTTTCAATATTGCTGTACCATTGTGCTGTTAGCTTTCCTTGTCATAAACGTCCGTTAACCTACCTCATCATCATCATCATCATCATCATCATCATCATCATCATCATCATCATCATCATCATCATCATCATCATCATCATCATCATCATCATCAACATAGTCATCAGCAAATAGCAATAGCAACAGCAGCAACACGAAAATTGATGAAATGTTTGTATTACAAATTTGGAGAAAAGAACTCTCAAGTCGAATTACTGAATGCTCTAAGCTTCAAGCGTTCATCATTTCTCACCTCTAACTGAGATGACATATTGTCGCATATCATATCAAACGATATGAGAAACTAACTATTCACTTGTTCCCATCTTCTTTCCACTTGTCACCAAACTAATCATCAATGGTGTTTTTAATTTCTCCATGACTGATGACTATTTCACATATCTATCTTCTGTTACTTAATATGTAGTGTTTGTCGATAGATAAATTCAGCGAAAAATAGAGCATCAATTTTTTTAAAATATATACTTTCGAAAAGCATCTATTTTTTTTTTTTGCATGTATCTATCTAAACTGATCATTTCTATAACGTGAACTCTTCTCAGTCATTCCTCTAACCAATTCCATTTTTCTCTTCGGATGCAACTTGTCAGTGACCATTGGATAGTTTCAAATGCATTCTACTGCTGTGCTACTTCTTACTTACTCGTAATTTCTGATTTCTCAACTTTCAATGTGCAAAGAGACATTTTTTAAAAAGCTGTTACGATAACTTACATCGCAAAAGTAATATTTACATTTCGCTTTAGCTTCCAGTCCGTTATTTGTTACGGCAAAATAAATTGATCGTATGTGGTATAACTAGCTCATACAACAAATCAAAGCAACATGTCAATGATCTTGTCATCCCGTATACATTACTTGTCATTTCTTTCACTATTTATATTTGATATTTTATGATTGGATAGCGAGTATCTTTCTTCATTTTTGACATCATAATTTCTATTCAGTGCAAAAATTTCTATGTGATGTCGTTTCTTCGGTTATCTTCCCTTTTCACATGTTTTAACCTATAAAAACAAAAAAAAAACCATTTCTTGAAAGTAGCAAAGAAAGAATAAATCATCTTTCCAACAGCTGCTTTTCCTCGATTAGCTCAGTTTTTTTTTTTTTCTCTTTCATCGACCAGCTGCTGCTTGCAGAAACGCATGCCTTCTCTTGCGATAGAAATACTTACTTAAGCAGTCATATTTTCTAATTGTATACCTTTTTGGTTAAAAATTGAAAATATAAAATTAATTCTTCAGCAGCTTTGAAACCTATATTTATGCTAGAGCTAATTTGCCAAATGACAAAAATTAAGATAGTTGTTGTTACGAGGTCACTCATAAGACTGTCATTTGCAGTCGATGATGTAACAAATTAGAGACAACAATAATTCGCTCCTACGATGAATGGTTGTGCTGGCTGATGTTAATAAAACGATCCACTGGTATATTTGAAAGAGTTGTTATTCGATTCCTTGGTAGACAGTCATTCATTGTCTACGTACCTTCTTCTTTCCACCTCTAAAACAAATTAAATTATTTCCATCTTCATGTTATCTTTTTCATTCTCTTCCATTTCTTGTGATCACCGATCACTGAATATAGCTTGTTATTCATTTATTCATTGTTTGTTATACCTTCTTCCAGCATAAAAGTTTCGTTTCTAGATGAATAATGCTTTAGTACTTCAGAATTCTTGTCCTCATACAATACCTTTTTTGTTATTTTCTCCACTAAACATATTGTGTCTTATTCTTAATTAAGATTTCTGATATGGATGGATGAATAATAGTTGCTGTCGCCTAGAATTGATCTCTTTGAAAGATGGAATTTGATACAAACCTGTTAGCTTAAATAAACACGAAAATGTCGTATTACACATGATGATCCCTCTTGTTGCTTATTGAAAATGATGGGAATTTTTTCACTCTCACAAACTCATGAAGCGATTAGCCAAAAGTACATCTGAGAGAGAGAGGGAGAGAGATTGTCTAGCTAGCATTTGCTCTCTTCTAGCAGAGCTAACTGTTCCTTTCACAAATGAACTGGTTCCAGCTGTGTATAGTCTGTGACGAGCTCGTCCACAATAAAGAAATGTCACAAATTTGCTGAACTACTTCAAATTAGCTGATTCTCGAGTCTCGAGTCTACAATAGCTGTAAATAGTATTCGCTGCAGTCACACCAACAGCAACTTCAAACGCTTAAATGATATTCACTGATAAATATCAGATAAGGAAATGCAGCGAACAAGCCTAATGATTAATGATAATCTCATAACTGCTGCATTAATTTCAATGTTACTAATCCCACTTCAACATATTTGTCCTACTTACTTGTGTTTCATACTCTCAATTGCCATTCAAAAAAGAAAGGAATGCATGATTAGTTTCGAGATTAGTAGTGAGCGGAAGCATTGAGATAGATAACGAATTTGATATTTATTAACGTTATACTGTTTCTGGTGCCTATTGAAATAAACCTCGGACAATCTTTATCTGTTCTCTTTGTTTGTTTCAGATGTTTGAATCTCCATTTAAAAGCGATTTTGATTTCGGTACAGAATTTGGATCCTCCACACAGCATCCTTTTTCTCTTCGCAGTCGATTACGCGAAGTTCGAGATGCATTTCGAGGATTTCGGGTAATTTTTTTCTTCACTGTTTGCGACTCAATCTTTCCTCTGCAATAAGATTTCAATTCAGGTCAAGCTGTTTCCTGCTACAGAGTTTCTTTTTCTTTTTTTTTTACGGATTTCCTTAATTGTATGCATACAATGGGGATGATGCAAGAGAATTTTTGCATCGTGGTTGAAGAATTAATATTCAGTATAACGTGTAATTCTGTCACGTTTTGATTTGAATAACCATTCCCACCGTAAATGTCTATCACATTACTTATTAAGAATCATCCAATGATTAACTATCGGATAGATAAAATAAAGGTATTTGCTGCTTGCTTGCTTAAAAAATGATTTCAAAAGACATCTATCATGAAATGAAAGTATTAGACGATGGAAGCAACCCTTTCAGAAGCATTTTAAACATTAAACTTAGAGGCTTACATGACCTTTCAACTTTCAGATTCACTGCACATTTAGTTATGTTGCATATTTTTTCGTTCACAAATTCATTGCACTTATAGTCGACATTATGTGACAGTTATGCTCATCGATAAATTATAGTCAAATAATAATATATATTTCAAGGACATTATTTATAATTACAGTAGACTATTGATATGTGTTGATACGGACTGATACAGTGTGCTTTCAATAATATTCTGTGAAATGGCCCAGTCAACGGATGGTTAAACATAAAAATTCTTGCTAGTAAGGCCTCTTCAGAGGATTGTAGTAGGCGTTTCCGAGTTAAATTGCATGCTGCAAAAAAAAAAAAAAACGGAAATTTTGGTTTATTACATCCATCTCCTTCTGGCAATAAATTCAACGATCTGAAATTTCACATTTCCATGCCATGCTATGCCCACTGGATTATTAAAGCCGTACACTTCTGAAAATGTTTTTTGGGCATTATAATACCAACTTGTTCTTAATTTAAAATTTTTGATACCATTATTCTTCCATCACTTTCTGTTCTTTTTTAATTACTCATATCTGATTCAATAATGGTACAGTATGGTCATATTGTTATCATAATCTGTCTATACGTTTCACTGTCGGAATTAGATTTAATTTTTGTTTCGAATTCAAGATATGTACGATTAGTACTAGGTTTTTCAATTTTTATTAACTTGTAAGTTTAGCGAACAATTAAGTAATAAAACACTTGCAGCTTCTATTAAGGTACTTGAAATATTTTGTTCATTTTTGACTTCATAATGATTTTTTCCTCAGCTACGAGGATTATTTTTAATTAAGTCCTCTTTTGTACATAATTATCAATTTCTGTATTAGAAATATTCAATTCTTCATCTAATCAATTTTATTTTCTTATGAATAAGCCACAAATGCTTTTTAAACACACACAAAAGAAAAGAAAGAAAAGAACTTATCACTATTGTCAACAGTAGTTAAAATCATTTTTAAATTCTTTTGCAGTTATCATTTATAAAGGAAAACTTCAGTGTTATTCTTTACTGCCACGACAGATACACACATTCTTTTGCAAAACGAAAAGCTAACAAAAAGTTTATGTCAACTACGCTTCAAATTACTTTTCAGTCATCACCTGGTACTGGTACTGTTTCTCACGGCGAGTCAAATCTTCCAACTATGCCAGTTCGGAGTGCATCCGACACCGCCACATCTTCAATCGTAAGTAAAAATAAATTAGTTTTAAGAGTCTTCTTCAGTTGTCTCCCATCAGCGTCTCCTGCATGAGTAATAAACGTAAAACTCTCTGTTATTGCGTCCTTTTTTAGATTTTTTGTTACTCAAACAAAAAATGTCAAAATTCCATCAGAAGTAGTAGGAATTTCATCGAGACATGAAGTCACGGTGATAACTTTCCAGAATTAATTATTTTTAATGAAGTTTTTTTTTTCTTCGAAAATTCCAACAATGGCAAAATAATTATAACTGCTGATAATTTATTATCAATATGACAGTTTTAATATTTTATGCTACGGTGTTAGCAAAACATAACTTTTTTTATTTGATACAGAAAAGCTCAAACTCTCCTTCTCTTCCGATGAAGAAACCGGTAAAAGAAATTGAAGTATCAATACAATTCCTGTACGAAGTAATACGTACCGATATGTTTGAAGTACTTATTGGTAGTGCTAGTGCTGTTTTTGATTCAGTTCTTTCTTATATAGCAACACTAAAATATCCTGCACCTTGTGTTCAGGTCAGTTCATCCATTTTATTTATTAGCTTACTGCACCTCCATATGTGGTCTCCGATAAGCTTATACCCTTTGAACTTTCCATTTTTAGGATGCTCTAATAGCTTTGTTGGATTGGGTCGAAAACAAAATCCTATCAAGTACTATTTATGATGATGTTGATACTGTTGTTGGGGAACCAGGAGGTTCGGAAAGCGATGGAAGTGAAGGAACACGTTTGGCTACTGAGCTCTTGAAAGTTTGCAGATTTTATGTAATATTTCTAGTAGGTAATAATAGTTTTTAGCATGCTAAATTATCGAGAATTAGATAATTTTATTAAGTGCAATCGTGATCTGATTAGGATAGTGGATGTGCAACATTGCTTCGAAAAATAGTTCAACTATTGGTTTATCAGAAGATTAATTGATTAATTTATTTATTGTTCAATTCGATTTGGTTTTTTGCTAAGATATCTTGTGGACTTCCTTCTACATAATTCTTCTCAACAATGTCTACCTGTAAGTAAATAATTCTCCGAAAATTTGCATATACTCAACTGCTCATACATTTGATAAAAAGCACTGACAATTTACAGGCTATTGCGGAAATCGATGAGAAATCATATGAATCTAGTTCAAAACCTGAAAATGTCAAGCTATTGGGATTTCATCAGGAACACTACAGCAACACATCCGTAACACCAAATAATTCAGGTTTCCACAGTATATCAAGTGCTGATATAACTTCCCCTTTTAATCATTCATCTGGATGTATTGGCGAGTTTCTTTTCTTGTACATCTTTCATCGTAACTACCAGGACTAAAGCTAGAAGAAACAGTAAACATCAAATGCTAGAATAAGCTGATAATGTATAATCAAAATTGGTTCCCCCTAAAGGATACAGAATGTAAAATTTCATTCCTATTCTTTGAAAATTTGTTGGCAATTTTATAAGTCTAAAAATATCCGTTGTCGAATGATTAGGTTGGTAACTTGAGAATTAATTAGACAGTAACTTTAATATTAAACATAATGTTGTAATTTAGAAATCATGACAAACAGTACGATTTTAAGATTGAGTAGTGCTTGTTTCAATCGATCATTTTTTTTTTAGATTTTAGTCATATAACTTACTTTTTTAAAGGAACCACTGATATCAGCTTGGTGGATCAGAGCCTCGATGACCTTTTGGCACAACTGAATCTGCATCAAGTCACAAAATTTGAACCAATTTTCCCGCAAGTTGAAAATGAAGATAGTGATGAGGATGATTCGGATATTGTCCACGAAAAAAGGTGCTAAAAGATTAACATATCTGGCAAATTACGCAATTTAATAAAGCTTTCCAATTCCTTTTGTCTTTTTTCTGTTTTTTCAAGGTGTAAAAATAGAAAAATTTTTAGCATTTATGAAAAGTAAATCTGCGCCTAGAAAACAAGAATGATTAAACTGAAAGAAATTAATTTTCTTTTTTTTTTTCGCATATTTTAGAGAAGAACGAGAAGAGAAAAAAGATACGAAAACTTGTGAAGAGGAAGTTCAACGATTGTCGGATGGAAGTGAGATAAGGAAACGGAAAACGAGAACATTTAATATGCTGCAGAATAGCAAACAGGTATTTGAGTCTTTTGTTATTTATATTCTAATTTCCATTTTTTTTTTTTAAATCTAATTTATAATCGTCTTAATTTGATTAAGATAACTGTATAATTGATGTGATGGACAAATACAGGTAACTGTACGGTCACATGGTAATGGAGGTGATGAGATTGTTAATACCTTTCATGACGGTAATACATCATTCAACGATGATTTGGCAACCGATGATTTCTTCACAACTCCTCGAAATTCATTTGGGCGTAATCGTTTGAATAGAGATAAATGTCTGGATGATTTGCTGAAGACGAAAGATGATTCAACAAATCCAGATGAAGGCATTTCCCAAAAAATCAAAAGTGTTCAACATACAGATACCGTTTCCCAGTAAATTATTAGCATATATATCTTTTTTTTTCTTTTTGGAGTCTTTACTAATTGAAGAATAAAACAGTTGTAATACGAATTCAAAAATATCTGTGTATATCCAGAAAAGTGTCAAAGACAGCGAAGAAAAATGGAAAAGTTATTGCGGACGATGCTGCACAAAAAATTGATAGAAGTGAACTAAATGCAAGACAAGTGGAAACTTTTAAAGTAATGTAATGAATTACGTATGACATATATCGCCGTCCTTTTTTTTTTTTTTTTAAAGTTGAGTTCTAAAAAAAAATTTGAAATTGGAGAATTTCCATTCGAGTTAATTGTTTAAGCAAAATTTCTGATTACTTAACTGCTATTCAGGATGTTAAATTGCTGGATCGTCGTGGAAGTGGTTCTTACGAGGAGCACAGTACGGTTAAAATGGGTCTCACCAAATCATCATCCTCACCTCCAATTCCTCCAAAACAGCGTCATGTTATTCAATATATGCAGGTAATTTGTATAACCTTATTGTTTCATTGCTTCTTCTTTAATTGTTACTAAATATTAGTTGCATGGTGAACAGTACTGTGTAGTAGTAGTAATAGTAGTATAGTACTACCTTACCTATTTCTTCATTTTGTTCGATCAGTTTAGTTAATTTAAGGTTAGTAAATAAAGTAATCTAAAACTAGAAGTAAATTGCAGACTTTTGGAAACAAAAGCGAAGACCAGGATGACTTCTTCAAGGGCTCAACACTTGCTTCATACATTTGGTTGAATGATAATTTACGATACCACGAAGAACAGTACAAGAAAAGAATTTCATTCGAATTTTCATTATCCAGTTTGCTTTTTCTTCGTTTACATTGCTTCCCACTCTTCTCCTACTTCTAAGTCTGTTCTTATCATTATTTTCTCTTCTCAATATTTCATATTATCTATCCGCTTTTAGTGTAGTCGAAATATCTGTGAAGATCACGAAAGTTTCACACTCGTCACTTTCACGCTGACAGATTTATTATTCATTTCCTATCTTCAATTTATTCAACGCAACACACAAACTTTTTCTGCAGGAGCAGCCGTGTCAAGTCAGCACTTTTCCGATTTGAGCCAATTGCTGCAATACAGTGAAACTGACAGAATTATGCTCCCAAAACGATATATGGATGAGGTATAAAGAGATAGGGTCTTCATTATATGTTACGAATTAAAATTGCTTATTTCTATTATTCAAATGATATATCGTTTGTACTGAAATATATTTGGCTTATTTTGTGCACAAAAGTTTCAGTTCTCTTCTTTAGGATGTAGAAAATAATTCCTCTAAATACTGCAATATTCTGATAATAGCTAGTCTATGAAAAAGATTTGATGATGTCGCTTAATCACTTTTCCTAATTCTTAGTTTAACTGTCAGCAATTTGGATTTTTAGTTGCCTTTTAGGGTTATCTGCATTCATTTCAAGACTTTTTAATCATTCCTGATTTATGTCGTAATGGAGAGTGTTGAGCTAGGTTTTGAGAGAGGAATTTTCAGTTTTTGTTTTCGGAATTTGAATATTTGAAAAATTCGTCGTCCAAAGCACAATTCGAAGACTGTTAGCAAGTATTTGCTACAGAATGAGATCGTCTCGAAAGGAACAACATCACTGGCATCTTCGGAGACTTCAGAAATTCTGGAATGTGTTGATGTGACAGATTGGTTAATGCTACGAGCACATGATGCATTCTCCAAACCCAATGAAGTAATTAATTTCTTTTGTTCGTATTGCAATATAATTCATCCTACCAAGCCTCATTTCATTTCCGCATTGCAATTTTTCTGCAGGTTCGTGGTGGACCTAAAGATGCGTTGATTGCTTTTGCGACCCAGCCATCAGGATCACTACTTTATCAAGAGGCTTTTCTCACAACTTATCGCAGTTTTGTCGAATCAGACGAACTTATTCAGAAATTGATTAGAAGGTACAAGTTAGAGTTAATTCATCTCTTCGATCTTCTAACAGTTTTATCGAAATAATTATTTTACATCTAATTAAATTTGTTAGTAATAAATTGTAGAGATGAAAAACCTCCTATGTTGTTAGAAAATAACTCGCCGATAGGTTCCAAGGCTTCCTGTATTTGCGTTTTTTGAAAGCTCCAAATTGTTCAGATATTTATATATGTGTACTATAAAAGAACAGCAGTCAGTCAAAGTAGCTCGTCAAACTTTTTCAATGCTAGTACGAGTGGTTGATGAGTTATGCGCGGTGGAACAAACGCGGAAACTTATTCGTGTAATTACAAAATTTATAAGTCGCCTTGTTAAAGACGAAAATTATACCTTTGCAAGGATTTTGAGGTTAGTCTAATTTTCATAATTATACAGTGGAATACCAAGTAATGATGAAATATTGCTTAATTTTTTGATTAAAAACTTGCTTTAACATATTTGAAAAAAAATATCATTTTGAAATGCTACCACATGCATAAAATTATCCCGCACATCCTGCACATATCTCCTACATACCTAGATTTCCAGGAAACGACTAATGTCACGAATGGACCTAAAGTCAATACAAAAACTCATGGCAACATCAAAGGAACGAACTAATATGAGGGGTGTGAGCTCAAGGTACGTTTTTATTCCTCTTATTTCTCATATTCTTCACATATAACATCTTCTATTTCAGGCATCTAACAATTTTTGATATTCGTTCGGCAATTATCGCCAAACAAATGACTTATTTGGATGCAGAATTGTTCCATATGATTGAGGTGAAATATGAAACTTCAATTATGAAAAGAGTAGAAGTATTAAAATATATCAGAAAGATCTGTATTATTTGTTATCTTCATTTATGGAATTTTAATATGGTTACATTTGCTTTTATTTTTTTTCGAAATTTAAACATAGATTTTTATAAAACGAAGGAGAATTTCGTGTGACTAGAGCTAAGGAATATTTTCAGCCAGCTGAAATGCTTTGGTGGGCACAAGAACAAAACGAGAAAAAAAGTCCAAACTTGTGTCGTTTTACCGAGCATTTTAACAAGGTAAGACGATTGATTACTACTCCATTGCTCTCATTTTCATCATCCTTTTCTTATAGGAACTGACGTAAGGTTTAAAATATCTGCTGACTAATAGCTTTCGTTTTCTAAAACTTTCCGTGATAAAAAGACGAAATAGTATTATGAGTTACACAAATTCCTTTCATTTATAGAAGAAGATTGTTCCAGGTCTCGTACTGGGTTCGAACTCTCGTCTTGACACCATGTGAGCAAAGAACACGTGAAAAAGTAATGACGAAATTTGTCAAGATAATGAAGGTACCTTTTGTTATAGATGCTTAATCCTAGCCTTTCAGGGGTTAGGCCATGTAGGCGATACATGTTTCAGTTAGAGGCCTGCTAGAGAGTAATATGAGTTAAGGTAACCACAAGAAATGCACTTCACTACTCTGTCCTGAATATTTGATTGCTTGGCTGCTGATCTGTGGCGAGTGCAGCCCTATTGGTAAGGGAACACTAATAATCTCAAACCATGTCTGCCCTATAATTGAAAATCGAGAGAAGAACCACATCAATCATCTCCACAGTAGTATATGTTGCGACATCCTTGGAGTGTGTAAAAACGCGTCAACAAGTGAAAATTAACATGACCTTTGAAATTAAATAAGAGATGAAGAAATATTGTGAAAAGCCAGTTTATCATGTTAATTCCACTCAATTATTCGCGCACTAATGGATGCATTTGCTTCTTCTCCTGCTAGATAGACGTCGAAATGTTTAGAAGCTTTGTTGCAAAATAAAATTGAAACTGCAATAAGTCCGAAAGAGGGGATACTGTGGAAATGTTAGATTCGGAAGACGAAATGAAACAGTCCAATTGCTTCAGCAAAAGGATAAAACGAAAGAAGACTTGGAATGAATCGAATGCAAAAGTGCCACATCGATTCAACTTAAGGTAGCAGATAATTGATCGCAACACAAAGAAAGCGATCATAGCATATTACGATAAAAAATATACCAATAATTTTAGTAACAAATAAATTCCTTACTACATTGTGAAGTTTAATGATGATCTATCATTATTATCTCGACCAGAACTTCGCCAGAAAGCAAAGAGAAAAGCTAAGCTTAATCAGAAATGCTACACTATTAAATAACTGTAAAGAAGAAAATCTATAAGAAGGGAATATAATTCGAGTGCCAAATTTTCTGCTTTATAAAATAATAAAAAGAAAATTGAGAGAAAACTTGATGGTTCATTGACAATTGGAATAAAAAGACAGTTTACTGGGAGTGCTTGAGATGGTAACCATAAATAAAGAGATGCGGGAAAGAACTGTGCTATTATTACTGTTCTTTTTCTATCGTTCTGCTAAACTTGGAATTTCATTTCTTGACGACATTTTGAACAGCGAAATGCCACCTTCACATGAACAGCGGAAGACATTAATAAAGAGCATACCTGAACCGGAGTGTACGGAAACGGGAATACTCTACCTTTATATTTTCTCAATATGTAAAATGGATATTAAAATAGGTTTGGAAAAGTCCATTTGACGTCCATTTTGATGAAACAGTAGATATTTAATGTGTTACTTTGCGATAGAGAATTGTGGAAAGTAAAGGATGTCGAGAATACAGGAATTGAAGTGGGTCCAGCAAGTTACTTAGTTATATTCGCAAAAGTGAAAAGGATTGTTTGAATAGCTTCCAAAAATTAGATGAGGGGTGCTTATTGGAAATGTCAGAAATAGAGACAAATCATAGGAGAGAATCTGTCATAGCTGTGTTCAAGATATGTCTTATAGCAGTAATACAATACTAAAAGTTTCAAACGGTCATGATGAGAGTTATTTGACATTTGCATATTCTTATATGTCAACAATAAGAAAAATTAGAAATGTAAACATCCTTTATAATACTGACAAGGTAATAGAGCTTATACAATTGTTCTTAATTACAGTTCAATAGTGATGAAGTCCTTAACTTATCCTTAAATATGCTAGATACTGTTTGCCTTCGAATTCCACAATATTTCTAACTGCAGCATTTACGCATTGTGGGCAATTACAATTCTTATTTGGCCATCTTATCAGCACTAGATTCGGGTCCTATCCGAAGACTGGATTGGTCCAAACATATCACCGATCTCTTGAAAGAGCACTCAGTTGTGATGGATAGCTCACATTCTTTCAAAAATTATCGCACATTGTTAGGCGAAAGCCGACCTCCATGTTTGCCTTACATGTAAGCTTCTATTTTTAAATTTCTTTTTTCTGGCATATATTATTTGTTCTTAAGATGAAGCAATTTCAATAATTGTTCTCAGGGATAAAAAATAAAGAGGGCATTTTCCAACTTCAATCACTACACATCTCATCCTTTAAAAGATGATTATTTTGCAGAGGTCTTGTTCTGCAAGATCTAACATTTGTACATATCGGGAATAGCGATTATCTCCCGCCAGAACAAAGCAATGGTAGAAAGAACCTCTTAAACTATGGCAAAAGATGGCAACAATTTGCAATTCTAGACAGCATCCGATGTTTCAAAAGCTGGTAAGCATTGATTTCATAGGTACAATATTGTTTATTTCCATCTGGAGTACGAAACCGACTGACTTTATTGAATTAGTCGTCGTCGTTCTTTCAGATTCATAAAGGTATGTATAAGAAAGATGTTTTATTCATCGAAAATATGCTAATTTGGGAAATGACAGGCATCTTTTGCAGGAATTACTCGATAGAAAAGGATGAAACAGTTATTCAGTTCTTCAATGGATTCAACAATTATTTGAGTGAAGATGAGATCTGGGATCTGTCAGAATCAATCAAACCACGAACACGTAAAAATAAATAAATCAACCTCTAAGATATGTCAAATCTAGAAACTCTGAAAATGATAAAATGGTATATTATGCGACAGCTTAACTGACAATCTATCACACATTATATCGAAACAAATTCTAATCAGTCCAAAGTATTGAAAAATTCCTCCATCATTATGGCAACTAAATTCATTACTATTTTGGTGGACAATTAATTACATAAATAGCCTTCGTGAAAGACGTTTTAGAAGATGAAATGATCATGAATTTAATGAAATGATTATTTTTTGGTGCTCTGTTAGAAAACTAATCGAACTAATTTTTACACATACAAACAACTCTTCTAACACTGTAATCATTATAAAGTAAACATGATTCAGTCAATGATTAAATGTTATCGCTGAAATATGTTAAATTATGATTTAGTTACAAAAATTCAATTTGATTTTAAAGAAATATAATATTTAAATGCAGAAATTCTGGAAAAAAATTTAATGGGATCAATATACATCAAATATGGAACGATATTGTAGGGAACCAAATGATTTCTCTCTTCCAGTACAGTGTTATGTTGTGAAAATTGAAAACTGTTTACTCGAATCTTTTTCTTTCTCATTTTTAATCGGAAATTTTGCAATAGTAATGGAACAAATAAAATTGATTTAGAGATATAAAGAAGTAGGAAGGAAGTGGAAGCGGTAATGTCCATCTTCATAATCATTCCCTTTTCATTCTATTCTCGATGTTCTTATTCGCATGGCGGAAAGTTACCGTGCACATGCGCAATGGATTCGATCCCTTTCTGATGTAGTAAATAAGAAAGCATTAATTTTCAACAGGTGATCGATCCATGCATAAGTACTGCTGCAGCGTGGACAGCATCGAAAAACAACGCACGTCACCTTGGACAGTTCTGCATTTCAATTGGAAACATCAATGTGCTCATAACATGTATCCATGCGTAAGAGTATTGCATACCAGAAATGGAAGTGGAAAAGCGTGAGTCGCACACGTAAGTACCTCTACGTCCGGAACCGACACAATTTGAATTTCAGAAGTCATGTTGGCCACCCCATAGCAGTACAGATGGCTAAGCAACACTCCAGCACTACAGCGCCACGTCACCGGTAAAACATTGAAGTGTTTCTAGTGGTTTGGGTTCATCTTGCTAGGAGGCTGGGTAGGACTCGGGAAATGCACTTCGGGTTAGAGGTTAGAGTTCACTCTACCTATCTTCATGATTCGTAGCTGCAGGTGTGAGCAGGTGTGGAATGGAAAGGAACGAAGAAAGGAATAATGAGGAAACAGAGAGCATCGCGAATGACGCTTGCGCACAAGTCGTAAGTATCTCAGTAATATTTAAATTGAAATAAACTTCTGATCGATTTAACGATATCGAATTTTATGATTCGTTTGAAGCATACTGTCTTACTGATGAGTAATTATTATTGGTGTTAATGAGTTATTGATTTTCATATAATTCTAATAATCTGAGAGAACAAGTGAATAAGAAACTAGTAGAACTGAAAAAGAAACTCTTAGCTGTGCAGTGCAAAAGTAAGAGAAAACGCATGAGACATGGATTTTTGTCCATTGAGATTGATTACCGATTGTTAATTGGATGGATTATTTCTCACATACGCAAATTAGATTCTTTTAGCCATTTCAGTTTGTTAGGGATTTACTCGAACTTGAATTTTGTACAGTGACATTTTCTAGTTTTCCTTCCAGGAGAATACAGAAGTATCAAATGAATTGAGTGGTTGTCAGGTGCTTGCGTACGGAATTGGGCATTTTTATAACGATTTGTGTGCCAGCATGTGGTTTACATATCTTTTGTTATTTCTGGAAAAAGTGATTATTATGCGCAGTTCCGTAGCTGGTTTGATCATGCTGATTGGCCAGGTACCATTTCATTTCTTCACTACTTTTCTCTTTAAGCCTGGAATCGGCGATATATTGATTTGACAAAAAATTAGATACCACTTCATGAACATGCCAATGCTACGAAAAAAAAAATATGCTGTTATTAATTTCGTTTCTGTCACATTGTCATGGATTTAGAATCCTGAATGGTAGAGAAAGAAACATGGTATTTTAACAATCGTCATCTTGAAGTAATGTCTGTAAATTAATATACGGATTTTATAGCTTTTCTATCATAAATTAAAGAATGTAGTTCGACTTGGCTATGAAATGCCTGTGCATGAATGATATCAGTTCATTACAGACTACCGATGCTTTGACCACGGCGTGTATTGGAGTTCTGAGCGACTGGACATCGGCACCACTTTGTTTTCGGCGTTGCGGGCAAAGGAAATCATGGCATGCTTTTGGTGTGTTACCATCAGTTACATTTTTCTATAAATGTATAACTTCATTTAATTTCATAATGTGGCAGATTATTCAGACACGTCTCTTTCTGAACAGTTATGTGAAATGTTAGGAAGATAATTTTTGAATAAATGTATACTTACACATTTTTTTACTTCGCATTCACTTGCACATTTGTTTGCTTCACATTTTCTGTTTGTTTCTGCTCGTCCATGACCGATATGTGTTTTTACTTATGGTGAAAATATTTTCTGATTAGAGAAAAACGCAACCAAGAGCAGTTATGTTACATTTTTCGTTTCAGGTACCGTATTAGTGACTTTTTCATTTGCATTTATTTACAATAAATGCTTCATATGCGGTCAGTCAGTGACTGATTGGGAACTTTTAGTCTGGTATGCACCATATGTAATTATATTTCAAATTGGATGGGCTGCAGTACAAGTAATCATTTTGTGTTTCGTTTGTTTTACATTCACTAAATTTTGGTGTTGTAGTCATCAGACTGAACTAAATGCACATCAGCATTATTTATTCTGCCAAGCTTTTTCAACATCTACAAAGTCTAATTTTCTCTTTTTTTTTTTTGTATTTCGAGCTATATTACAAGATTATATGTTTTCTAGATCTCACATTTGGCTTTGTTACCGGAACTTACGTGTGATGAGAGCCGTCGAACGACAATGAATTCTGTTAGGTTGTTTCTTATAAATTGATAGATGTATTTGTGTACATACCAAAAATATGGAAACATTACCGGATTCAAATTTCAATTTCTTTTTTTCTTTTCAATTTTTTTATAGGTATGGATTTACGATTATCGCAAACTTAGTTATTTTCGTAGTACTCTCGTTGCTGTTATATTTTGATGATAAAGGCTCTGCGATTGGTCCTCTGGACCTTCGCCACTTTAATGTAAGCTTGCACCGCTGTCTATTAGCGATTTGCAGAAAGTGACATTTAATAGAACTCAAATGAGCTTTATGCACTGCATTTTTAGACAGTTTCGGGAATGGTTATTGTTGTGGGACTTTTTACTGAAATTATTTTCTATACCATAACAAAAGAACCTTCAAGAGCTGATCATGCTCTTATATCTACTGAGCCGAGGCATCATTCTGGAATCTTACGTTCCTTCAAATTATCACTCAGTAAATGGATGTGTCGTTTTCAGTTCTACCAGGTAACGCTGTATTCTAAGAATTAAGGAAGTATATTGCTCTCAAATCTTCAGAAGAAAATGTTTGCAATTTTGATTATTAGGCTACAAAAAGATTACAAATTACTGCTACAGAAAGTTAAATTTTTCTACAGTTGCTTCTAATTATCGAATATTTCCACGTACGCTTTGTGCTAGAAAATGTGTTCGTGTAATTGCTAAAGACTGCTAATTGTCCATCAGTAGCATGAGTAAAGCATCTGTGATAAAATTTATGAATGCACTTCGAAAATGTGTTCAATAGTACAGCTAATCCTGCAAATAGCACCATCATCTGAAAGGAATACTTTTTATGTTTAACTCAACTTATTTTTTAGGTTGGGATGTTATACGTGCTTTGCAGATTATATATTAATGTATCACAGGTTTATTTCCCGTTCTACATTACACACTTACCGAATATTTCGAAGGTAATTTAGCTGTCAAAATTTTCATAATGAAGTTGCAGATGACTTTTTTGCACTGTAACATAAGGTATTACGTATTTCTGGCAACTGCTGTGGTGTTATGTCTTTTATAATTTTGTTATAATTAATCTATTGAATGTATTGTTAGCATTTATTATATTTCCAGACATACGTTGCTATATTACCAATGATTTCTTATTGTTCGTCACTTCTTATTCCTTCTATGACTGGTTTACCTTTCATAAATCGTCGATGCAACTTGGAAGTGAATTTTTACCTCTTTCACGCTACTCTGCAGTGAGAAACCGGAAGTATATCCACTGAATTCTATCCACTGAATTTGGTGTTAGGAACCATTTATTTTATTATGTTTTAGTAGTAATGATAATGGAATTTAGAGTCTTTTGCTTAATATATATTTTAATTAATTTCATATGCATATATGAGATGTAGAAGAGAGCAATAACATTTGCTCTATTTATCAATGAATTACTGGATAGTATTTAATAAGAGTATTCTGAGAGCGAATATGGTAGCTGGGATTTTGATAGAAACAATTTCAACGTAGCAAAGTTTGGCACGTTTTCGGGCTTTTCCAAATTTCGAATTTGCATAATTATTTTTATTTACGGAGGAAGAGATTATGTAAGCTCTGCAAAGTATAATTCATTATGAATTTTAGCATTCTTAAATATTCTGTATGACATATAACTTTGTTTAGGTGCTTCTGAACCTTATACGTCTTTCGAGAAGCTCACTGTATGTAGTTTATATGTATTCTATTATTCTCTTGTTCATACGTTTTCAGAGTTTAGCTTTATTTGGATGTTTGTGTGGCATTTCAAGTTGCTTGGTGATACAATTTGATACATATTTCCCTGTTCACATAGTTGCTGTTCTTCTGGGTATAGCCCAAGCAGTTTTGTTAATAACTTCACTTTCTGCAGTAGCGAAGCTCATTAAACAAGATACAGTAAGTGATTAATTTTTTTTTTATTTGATTATTGTTATTGATTTGTCTGATTCATTATTTCAAATTTCCTTAAAGTCTTTTGAAGCCGAATTTTAGTTTGAGAGCAGTTATACAATACAAGAGATTGTCCTAAATTTTTAAGCAAAATACTTGATATACACTAGCGCCAAAGACAGAGTTGTTTAAACAATTGGTAGTCAAATCAGCAGTTGAGAGACATAAACATAATTTAACAAATAATCACATATGTGTGTGTGTCATCAGCGTTTTTCTTTTTGTTTTGTAAAAGAAACTTGCTTTTGCCAAAGCTTATCACTTACCATGCTTATTTCAGTTTGTTTTGGATTCATTCTTTCCGTTAAATCTATCAGTCTTATTCGGTTCTGCTCACTATTATCGCTCTTTCACTTCTTTTCATCCCTGAATGAAACCAGTCAGTACATGATCTTTCTTTCTTTCATCTTATATGTTGAATTAAAAGTTCCACTTTTTTTGCTAATGCAGCTTAAAATCGGGAAAAGTCGATAATCTTTCTGTACTGAAATTAGCATGAGATGAGATGAAATTACTGCTTAAACTCGTTTTGCTTTTTTTTTTTGTTATTGCATTTTGCTTGTTTTGTCACATTTTTGTCATGCCCAATCATTTTTGTTTGTCGCTTTGATGCATGCAGTAAACAAGATTTTTTTCCTTTTTTAAAATCGGAAAAAGTCGATAGTGCTGTTTATGGTATTTTTGCAGGAAAGTGGTGCTTTTGTTTATGGTATTTTCAGTTCCATGGACAAAATTTCAAACGGATTAGCTTTGCAAGTAATCGAGTTATTCAGTCCATCGTCGTGCATGTTAGTCCGCTAACAGTCGTTTTATTCATTTTCTAGAAAACGCTTACAGTAGTTAAAACCGTTCAAAGTAATGAATACTTTGCAGAGCGAGCGAAAGTGCAGTAAACTGCACAAATTTCTATCGAGTGGTGATTGTCGTTGTGCCTAGTACTACTCTTCTGATTGCTTTCCTCGTGCTCATTTCTCTGATAATAAGCGAGAAATGGAGTAACAGGGTTTTCCTCGGTGGGTATGAATAGTTTTAGGTTCATTTTTATGCAGATTACTGTTTGTCACTTTCTAAAATTTACTGACGTTTCAGCCGGTATATGAGGATTCATTGTCCAATGTAGATTTGAATTACCGGTCGTGCAGGTGAGTTAAGCTTGCAAATTCTCGTTCAAAATGAATAAAGTTAAGCAAAATCATCTACTCAATGAATCGCATGCGTGAAATAAATTTCACAATGAATTACATATGAAGTGAAATGAATTTCATCTAAAATCAATGTTCAGTTCAAAATTTGCATTTCTCTATAAAGCGAGCATTGCTGTAGCCTGTGAAATATATTTGTAAGTTTGTTTTGTATCACTATAAATGCAGTGATATCTTTTTGATCCAAAAGTTTTTTTTTTTTTTCGTTCATTTAGTAACTGGGAACTCATTGGTTTAATAATGATCATATTTATTTTTCTAGTGTTACCCTTTTTACAGAATCTCTTTTGCAATCATATTTTTGCCTGATTATTATTTTTTTTTTTTAATAATAATAAAAAAAACTGTTCTAAACAATTTAAAATGTAATTTTAATACTAGGCGAATGTTACTGCATGATGGTATGCTTTCTTATTGTGTACTTGTTCTGATTTGCTGTATTCTCCAGTTATGATGCAAAGTAACTACAGGCTAATATTCTCGGAAGTATTTCGTATAATCTGAAGCGGTCAGCAGAACAGATTTTACTATAGATTTTTATAAACAAATTTAAATAAGAAATAGAGAATACTGATTTCAGTAAAATATTTTTATATTTCCAATAAAACAGAAAATAAAAAATTAAATTATATGGACGAAAACATAACCGTGTTCTTCCACTTCTTGGATCTACCTACCTAGCTCGAGGTGAATGTTAAAATTTTTTGTTTTGCTTTATTATTCGGATTTCCTATTTTAAGTTAGGGATTTTTTTTTTTAAAGGATTTATGGGCACATTTTTATGATGGCCACACTTTAATGGAGACTTGTTCATGTAGAAGCAAGGTTAAGGAAGAGTAATGTACGAATCTTGGACCAATTTTCAATATTGGGTTTTATAACCGATCTTGTTAGTAAAAAAGAAAAACTAAACAGCCAAAACTTCCTAGATATGTAAATGGCTGTTGATTACAAATTGACAACTTCGTGCACCTTTCAAATGGAATTTCCACAAATGTTACTGTCCATATGTGATGGTTAACTTGTTTTTTTTTTTTGTAACAGTTTACAAATTATCGCTTGAGGTGTACCCATAAAATTTCCAAATTACAAGTGATTACTTCAAATCATACCTCTGATGCACTAAATTAGAGATATGTTTTATCGAGATAGAAATGTTTTTCTGAAGCTTCTTCCCCCAATGATATTTATCATCATTAATGGATCGATTTATTATTTAAATTGAGCAAATAAAAGTGAAGTTATATTCTATGAATTACCACGCACTAGCAAATCTGGCTGGGCTCTTTCAAAGATTCCCGAATAATGATAACCAAATAAATGCTATTCCTTGAGATAACATCAGATAAGTATTCATTAGGAGAAACTCTCGAATTAAAAGTTGCGTTGTGCATCCAAGATGTTATTAGAAATGTGTTATATTAACATTGTCTGAAATTAAGATCATTACACTTGAAACATTGCACTGAATATTTTAAGTAGTTCACACATTTGAAACACAGGATCCATCATTTATTTATAATTGGCGACTAATATAAAACTTACTAGAATGATAGACGAGTAAAAAAAAAAAAAATTGGATGAGGCACGATAATATATAAAGAAAACAGATTCGTCAAAGGATTTGAAGTTCCATCCGGATTATTTTTTTTTTTTTTTTTTTTTTTGATAGAAAAAACTAATAAGCTTTCTTGAAATGAGATATGGATATCAAAGGGCCATGTAGCCTTAGGAGCATGCGCGATTATTGGAAAAGCTTAGGTGCAAACCTGGAAGCACCAAAAATCGTTTCAAACAAACAAATGTTACAAAAAGAGATAGAGAAGGCACGAAATACCTCGAATTGATGATTATCACAAACATTGTGCTAAAATTTTGTCAGTTGATTTTTTTGCGGTGGTTCGAATCTGTCTTAGAAAGGGTTTTAGCTCGAGCTTCACTTTAGTGATAGCTACGAGCACCTATCAAGTTCCCGAGAAAAAAAAAAATGATCTCAAGGTGGGGTATTATTCGTTCTCATAAAATCGTGTCAAATGGTCCCTTTTTTTTTTTTTTTTTTCTCTCTTTGATGGAAAATGATAACAATTTTTGTGAAAGTAGCAGTGATTTTTTCATGGCGCATTAGCTAGCTAAAACATCCAGTCCTATTTTGCATCATGATATATAACTGATCAAAATGCACATATAAATATTTACACATCTTGAATGAAAACTCGTTGCAAAAATTGAGACGAGAGAAATGTGCAAAATTGCACTTATAATATTGATCATAATCGTGGTTAAAAATCGTCATTATAATTGCGATAACAATCATAATTCCTAGGCATAGTTAAAGTCGCAGCTGCGATCCTAATCATAACATCAATCCTAATTATAATCATAATCACAATTATAGTTGTAATCCATAATCGTGATCGTATCCGTAACTATGGACGGTTACTTTCAAGATAGTACTTGCATTCAATGACCATAATCATAATTGCAATTAAAATCAATATCATAACGTAGCTGTAATCGTAGTTATGAAAATTTTTGCTACCGTTACAGCTATAATTATGGTCACGGCTACAACAATGATTATAATTACCATAACAGTGGCAATTATGATTTCATTATTTTCACACACACACACACACACACACATACATATACACACACATACACACACACACACACACACACAGACATACCTTCTAATAATACATTATACGTTTTTAGCCTTCTTATTTGCTTCTGCAATCAAGTCATTGATTATGTTCACCGTTTTTGCAGAAGTTTTTCCTTGGACAAAACTGTCATGATCACCTTCCACAATGTATACCTTGTTCTCGTCGGATACCTGTAATAATCATTCTGTTTTGTTTTTTACCACTTTACCATTCTTCAGCTTAAATTTTGATATGATAAACATCTAACACTACAAAGCACTTTAAACTGGAACTATTTAGGAAGCTAGTCATTACTACCTGTGAAATGCCATAGTCAGATCCAACATCTTCCTCTCTCGCTGCTCCTTGTTCTGCTCTTATCAAAGTTATCAGTCCTTTAAATTTTCGTTCTGGTTTATACCTAAATGACTAATGATTTAGTTGTGAGATTTTCATTTTTTGAGCAATCATCATATTACATCATATTATCAAATCCACGATATTTGTTCAGGTGCAAAGTTCATCAAAAAGCCCTAGCATTTTGTCACGATAGATGAATGTATTGCAATAACTTACTTATCAGCCATGACAAACTTGGAACGCATTGCACAGCATGCGAAATCAATAGTATCAGCTGATTTGAAGAGGCCTGTTGTCATTACCGTATCTACAACCTTCTAAAAAAAAAAACTATAAGCTTTAGTGAACTAAATATTAAAAAAAGTTCATAACTTAGACGCGTAATTTTAATTACGTTGAGATGCTAAAGTTACAGAAACACTGCAAAAATCTTGCCTGAACTCGTGCTTTAAATCCTGGCTGTTGTAATAATTCAACTCGGAATTTTTTGTAATCAACATTTGCAAAACGCAGCGTCATAGCACACATAATTTCAGACTCAAACAACGGATTGTTGACAAGCGTATCACCGGTCACGCCAAATGCCATTCGATAAACCTTTAATTCATAGAACTTTTTTCATCCATTATAAAATCATTTAAGCAAAAAAAAAAAAAAAAAAAACAAAAATTAGAAATGAGCAGAAAATTAAAAAGAAATTACGAACATTTCGATAAGTTTGCATGTAAAGATGAGATCCATCAAGTAGTATAAGTCTTTCAACGGAATTGGCACCATCACTTTCCTGGAGCATTGTTGCCATTTCGAAACCAATGCAAGCACCGTAAGAATAACCAATTATTCGATATGGTCCTTCCGGTTGTATCTTTTTCATTTCCTACACAAAAATTTATCACATATAGATAGCAATCATTTGAAATAGTTAATCTACGATATATATACAGTAATAATCAATGCATATCAGTACTAATAATTTTTCTAAACATTACCAATATATATTTCTGCGCAACTTTCTCAATTGAGTCTTGTGGTACTTCTCTTGTTGACTGGAAGCAATATGCTGGAAAGTTGCACTTCGACATAACTTTCTTCAACGGTGTAGCAATTCCTTCTATTGAATGCACAAAGAACGTTGGTGGCCCAGCTTCAACTTTATTACATTTTATTATAAGATCCATCGGTTCAAGGTCGTTCACATCCACCCTCATCCTAAATAAATTACAACATAGTGTTATTTGAAAAATCAGAAGAAAAATACTGCGAATGATGTCTAAAATTGAAGAATTTGGAGATAGTCATTTCGGGAATAAGCAAATTAAAAAAAAAAAAAAAAAACTTACTTAAATAATTGATTCATTTGCCTTTCAAGTTGTTCAACAGTATTTTGTTCAGCTTCCTTCTCACTTTCTTTTTTCAATTCAAGTTCAGTTGTTTGTAACACCGTTGAAGTTGTTCCACCGGAATCTACCAACTGTTGAAGCTTATTTAACGTTAGCTAAAAGCGTTACATTGAAATTTTTAGAAAAATAACAAATCAACGACATTTTTTTTTTTTTTAATATTAAGGAACGTTGTCTTGAATTATACGTTTATATTTTATACATTATTATAAGTTACAGATTTTATGCATAAGTGTATTGATACCTTCATTATTCTTAGAACAGTTGTGATAAAACTTTCATTTGAGTTTGGCTAGCTAAGGAAAGATGAGAAAATACTGGAAATACTATCAGAAGTTAAAAATCTACATATTACAATAGTATTAGATGAAACTCACCGTTCTAATGTCTTTCATTGACAAAACGATGTCATAGTCTCGTTCAAGAGCTTGCTTAATTTCAACGCCCATAAGTGAATCAAGACCCAAATCACCTAAGTAAGCATCTGGATTCAATTGCGCCGCATCATTCACACCCAAAATATGTGCCATTGTTTGCCACAGATTCCCACTACTTCCCACTTTTTTAGCACCAATATCCGCCTTGATGTAACTAAAATTAAAGTTGAAAGAAGAGCTTGCTTAATTTCAATATCCATAAGTGAATCGAAGCTCAAATTGATCTCAGTAAACATTTGGATTCAACTGCGCTGCATTATTCACATCCATAACTACTGTTTGCCAAAATAAGTTAGACTTTTAATCTAAATTTAGACAAAAATAAGCATTGTGTACTGCACATAATTAACTTATACAGGAATGGGTCTAATGAAAACCTAGCAACAATAGGATGATTCCAGGATAAGAATAAATCCAAAGCAGCCAAGCAAGAAGGCATTCGTTGTGGTAAAGTACCACCAACAACAGTGTTATTATCACCCATATTTTCCAGGATAACTCCTACATCACCAATAGCTCCCCATTGAATTGCAATGCCCGGGAAACCATCTTCTCGACGATGTTCAATAATCCTTTCCATTGTACAGTTGGACCAACCATAATTTGTTTGTCCAGCATTTCCACGTCCCGAAGTGATTGATGAAAATGCGACAAACCTAAATTTGAGAGAATTTTACACGACATTTCCTTTCCTTATTCAATTCAAAATATTTACCGTTTTGAACAATTCGGATTTGCGAATTTTCAAATATTAAAAGGATTGCTGTATAATGATAGCTCTTTTTTGAAATTATCGAAAGGAACAAAATACAAAATATGAATGTACACAAATTGTTTAAAAATGTTAACATTAGCTTAACGTTCGACTGGTATAAGCGAATAGTTTTTAAACGAGTACGAAACACTTTCAAAATACCGGTTGTAAAAAAAAAGTTAAAATAAGGGTAAACTTACCACCTAAGTTCTTTACCACATGCATCTCTGGTTGCAGCATCTAGATTCAGAGTTCCCCAGTATTTTGCTTCAGCAGCATCCTTGAAATTTTGTACATTTTGATTTTCAAATAAACAATCGCGTAATACCATAGCAAGATGAAAGACACCGCCAACTGGACCTAATGCTTTGCACTGTGATATCAGTTCGTGGGCATCTGATAGATGAGCGATATTGAGTGTTGAAACAAGAACCGAAATACCCGTTCGACGCCAAAAATGGACGCAACGAGCCTGATAGCCTGTTCGGATTCCCATTCGAGAAGTTAGCACTAATCTGTAGCATATAGAATGAAGTTTTTTATGCATGTCACATCGAATAATATATTAGTTTACTCTCACAGAGCCACAACATACATTTCAGGCTTTCTTTCAGAAGATTTTTAGAGTTAAAATTTAAACTAATAAAAAAAAAAAAAACATTTTCTATCTTTACGTAAATTCTTTTTAAACTATTTTTAATTTAAATAAAAAAAAAAAAAAAAAAAACAAGAAATAACTTCTTCTACGCACATACTTTTTAGCACCCCTATTAATAAGCCACTGTGAAAGTTCCAAACCAAATCCACCAAGGCCACCAGTAATGAGGTAAACATGATTTGGGTGACACAATGTTCGACATATCGCTCGTACCTTAATTGGCGATGGTACACACACTCTTTCTGGTTCCTCTCGTCGAATTTCCATTAAAACCTAAATGTGAAAATAGTCCATGCTACAACAATTTTTTTTTTTTTTTGAAAAAAATTTAACAATCGGTAACGCTCTCCTAGTGCACTAAATTTTAAAAATATTCAAATTTTACACTCCTGAAAATGACTGATAACTACTCACTTAGCCATATTAAAACTTTCTTCTTTTTTCGAACCACTCACTCAGCACTTTTTCTGGTTATATAATGCTATCAAATTATTCTATTCCGATTCTCTTCCAGGCAGGCTCCAAATATACCTGAATCTACTGCTGGTATCAAAACTGGAATAATTCTTATCAATCTATAAGGTGTGTAAATGTCATAAATGTTTAAATCAATATCACACCTTTCCGATGTGTTTGCCAGACGACATGAAGCGGAACGCTTCCTCAGCTTTTTCACTTGAAAATGTGGTGTACGAAAGCGGCTGTACAATTCCGCTTTTAATTCCATCCTGCACTAAGCGTGCTACTTCCTGAAATTCAACATAATTTTCATTTCGATGAGTTTTAAAGAGAAATAAAATTTGAGAAATAAATTGTACGACTTTTCAGTGCCTCATTTCAGAAAAAAGTTTCAATTTTCTACAAAACAAACCTGCCAATCTTCTTTCTTCCCGACGCTCGGATCCATCACTGCATCCAGAAGTATACCATGGAAAGTGATATTTTTGAGGAACACCGCCATACCAAGCGGTGAATTTTGCGATAAGTCTACTTTACCTATTTCTAAGAATCGTCCGTTTTGAGCAAGACATCGAATAGAAGCCTAAAGTTGCTTTATCTTTAACGATTCATCAACATATCATCCAACACCGTATCTATCATTTAACGCTCTTTAGTACTGATACAATTCCGCATATAATATAACTCATTATCATTATAGTTAGTTTAGCAAAAAGATGTATATTAGAAATGATGAAAATGTCATTCTTGAAGATAAGAGAAGTAATTGGATCCAATCATACCTGCAACATATGTTGAGCTAATGAATTAAGTACAACATCAACACCGCGACCCCTTGTTTGGTGTCTGATATGAAGTTCAAAATCGGAGTTTCGTGAATTCGCGAAGTGTCTATCTTTTAGCTGCGGGAAACTGCAAAAGGTAACAGGGTTCACAGTTCAATTAAGTTCAATTTTAAACAACCAAGTACAAATGTAATAATGCTGAAATGCAAAATTGCTATTAACAACTAAATCAACTAGTATATTTTACCGTTTCTGTAAGAATGCTTTCTTTTCAGCATTTCCGACTGTAGTAAAAACTTCACAGCCACGTGATAAGGCAACCGAAATTGCAGCTTGACCAACACCTCCCGAACCTCCATGAATTAAAACCTAAATATGAAATTGTTATCAATTCTCGTCATTGTTTATCAAGGTATTCAAGAGACGGTGTTACTAATACTATACTATCATCTAAAATAACGGGTAACTCAATCAGCTATACTTTATGATCAGATATATAGTTAAAATTCATATACATCATATTATATTAGTGAAAAAATCACCATCAACCCTCAGTGGTACATAACAACCTCAATTCTTTATTAAGGAAGGTAATAAAGTACCTGCTTCCTTCTTATAACTAACCTTGTCACCCCGTCTGATACGGCCACGCATCACAAGCGCATAGTATGCAGTGGTATATACAACTGGTACAGTTGCAGCGTCCGTTAGTGACCAGTTGTCCGGAACGGTCCAGGCATACTCACGATTAACAATTACAGAGGTCGCTAAAGCTTGCGCTGGCAGTATACCCATCAGACGAGTACCATCCTTCAGTCTTCCCGAAAATTCCATACCCAATAAGCACTCGCGATCGGCGAACTAAATTATTCAACTTGAATTTACCGATCGCATAATTTGAATGATGATTCAAAACTTATTATTATTACTCAATTATTTAAAAAAAAAAAAAAAAATGGGCAAAATGGAAGAAGCTAAATAACAAGAGAAGTGATAAGAAGAAGTGAAGGTAAGGTATATGTGATATCATTATCGGTATGCTCTACCGCTGAATTCTGAATCATTTTTCTTCATACTTCTATTTAGTTGTTGTAAAGTTTGGAAATCAACAACCTCTATGGTCTTTAATTTTGCTATTTGAGGAATAGAATTAAAAACAGGTAAACTCGGTAAGTTGCATAACATTTTATTGCTAATAATGGATAAAGTAGAGCACCTGTCCTGGGATAGCATCCGGTGGAAGTCGTCCATATGCGAGCATAACATCACGGAAATTAATAGCTGAGTAATAGACGTTGCATAGCTCAAGCGAAGGATTTTTTTGACAGGTATCTTCAAAGAACTGATTCGGCGATTCAAACCATGTCAATGAACTAACATCGCCACGTATCAAAGTATTGATGAAAGCATGTTCTACATCTTTATATAAATGCATTTCATCTAAAAGATCAAATTATTTATTCATCGCCGATCAATACACATCGTTTCATTGTTCAGTTTCAAACGATAATCCTGAATTTAGTTTTGTCTGAACTGATTTTTGATCCAATTCATTCCATGCTTCCTATATTTGCAATTTCTTTTAATACAAGTGCCCAATAGAATACAATAAAGTAATTTATGAAATTGAATTCGAAAATAAATTCAAAAAGTATTCTATCAAAAAGCAAATATAAATATTAAAAAAAAAAACAACAACAACAACAAATCAGGCCTACCATCTTTAACAACAAGATGACGCATAGAGCCCCATACACCATCACGATAATTGTTAGCATGGAGATCAAGTTTCACCAACTGTTTGACGGATTCGTGTTCCATCCCAATTTGTGCTGGACCAGTGCGATTTTCCTTCTTGACACTCATATCAATCAAAGTCCGAAAACGATTTGATTTCAGATTTTCTTCACTGAAACGATAATTCTTTAGTTTCATATAGATTCTGTGATATAAGCGGAAGCATCCCAGGTAAATATTTCTATAATGAATTATCCAATGACACCATCGACCTTAGATAATTACTAAAGAATTAGGATGAGAATGCATCTGCTCTGAAATATCAAAATGATGGAATATCTACGTCTAGTTGAGATATAGTTGAGAGTTTGAGAACAATTTTTGCTAATTTAGAAAAGCTTTTCTTATGCTCTGTATGTTTTTTTTTTTTTTTCCAAATTTACCAAAAATTATAAATTTTCAGAAAAGTTCATAAAATAGCTTTCTTGCATCGCACTCACTTACGCTTTATGCAGTGAATTATAAAGCTTTACGTTCTGTTACATTTGCATACATATGAATAGTTTTTATAAATTGAACTACAATACTTTAGATGTTCTGTCAAACGCTGTCAGAATTGTTTCATATGCTGTAGCAGATGAAATTAGTGTTAAAAACTTGCTTGAAGCAAAGAGCAAGTCCAAGTAAACCGTTGTTGCGTACTGTTGTACTGGTAAGCCAAATGGTCTTGTAATCTGGCTCGTTTAAACGTTCTTCAATTGCTTTTTGCAGTGGTTCAATCCAGGTAAATTCTTTAATGTCATCCACATCAATCACTATTGGCTCTCTAGGTTGCGATGGAATTTTTCGAATTGCATACATTGTGGTCATCATTGAAGGATCACTCTATAAAGATCAACGTATAGAGCTTTTGATGTTTAATTCATCAAAAATTTCTTGTCTTTAAAATACATGAAAGAGACACCTGATAATTACAGAGCCGGAAGTCGCATTCCTCAAATAACTTCAGTAGCTGATCATGTGTAAAATAAGCACCGTAGATACGTCCAGAATCACTGATACTTATCGTTTCTGCATTAAGACCTTGAATTGCGAGAGCAATTTCATAGTCAGATGTCGTCTCGACCAAAATGATGAAGCCATCATCACGTAACATTTCTTTGCACCTCGACAGGTACCGCACTACGTCTTTTTTCCTAAAAATCAAATCACACTTTCGTTTTTATCAATTAATTATAACAAAGTCTCTTGGATTGCCTTAGTAAACTCTGTAAAGTGATATCGATTATCTATAAGATATCTCAAACATCATTATTCAAAACACGTAAGATCCTTCCAATCAGTTAAATTATACCTTCTGCATTTTTAACATTGTTTTTTAAACTAATATGTATGTAGCCAGCAAATATGAAAAATTATTTTGTAAAGTTAATTCCTCCTCTACTTTTCTCCGAACAGAGGTCACCTAGTAATCGTAAATTTTGAAATCCAGAGGATATATATTACTTCCAATTCATTTCATGGAAAAAAAAATCCTTTTCCAGAAAAAGAGTGATTGGAAATAGCAATTATATATGTGAATAAAGTGATAAAGAAATAAATCTGGAGTAGTGCACTTTGGAAAAAAAAAATTGAAACTTTTAACTTACTGTGATAGTATTTTGTCCAAAATTATTATGTCACAATTTTTGATTTCAGCAGATGGCACGAACTGTTTTTCATCTAAAACAGTTGTTACTTTTTTAACACCAAGTTGTACCAAGGTGCTTTCATCCATATCATCCACTTTGGGTCCAACACACAACCATTCAACTTCCAAAAGCGGATGTGAGTTTACTGCGTCAACACAAAATTTGAGCTGTTCGGTTGAATTGAATTCCAGTGCACATGCTTTGCAATTATGTCCGGTTGAATTCTCGATGCATGTATCCTGAAAAAGATGATTCATTCACATTCACAGACAAGAAATTTATATTGAAAATTCCAAAATGCTACTGTTCCATATTCGTAGGTTTTCCATTTACAATAGATCTTCAGAGTCCAAACTTCACAATTACAAAATTTTGCAATTTATATAACCAATGAATGGGGTACATACCTGAATTGTTTTCAAAATCCTGTCATGAACAATAGCGGCGCTCCACAATCGATCTACGTTAAAGATTTTCAACATACTTCGCATTTTTTCTGCTACTTTATTTTCAAAATCTTTGGGATTGTTACCAATTTCGATGGCGAAAATTTCATCAAAAACTGTTGCAACTGGTGATCTGAATTAAAATAAAACATAAAATTCCAGAGAGAACATATTTTTTTAATGTTTTTCTATACTCAAATCTTAATAAGAGGAATAACAAACTGCGAATCATCGAGCCATCGTTTGTGTTCCGTTTCACTAACTGGATTCATGAACTTTGTAAATTTACGAACAGCATCCGAAAGGAGCGCACCATTTGTTAATTCCTTCAAACAGCCATTAACCTCCCATTTTGCCAAACCATTGGCCAGCAATGATCGAAGGAAATCTCGATAAGCATTCAGTTCTTCACGAATCTGCGGGAATTCATCGAAAGCTCTGAAAATAAAAACTATTAACATTATCAAAATTGATACTAGTTTCGAAACTGAAATACTGCTTATTTAATTCCATACGATCAACTTGTTTCGACAGAGTTACTTGATGATCAGTTTTGTAGATTAATTTTAACAGATCATTATATTGACTGGTTTTTTGAGAGATGCGCTGATGTCAACCAGAAAAATAATTTAATAGCAACTATGGAACAACGATACCCTTCAGAACAAATCCTTCCCGTACATATTTTTTCCCACTATCTATCTTTTTAGTTGTTACATTCCTGATTTCCAGCAACTTACTTCATGTCGAAATGTTTGGTGAAATAAATTTTCTCATAATAAAGCTGTCCGGAAGACTGTAATCGACGAGCGACCGTATGTGCCGTCAGATCACAGCATTCAACACCACCGGCAATGCAACCATTAGTTGCTACATCATTACGCAACTCAATTACTTGGATACCATCTAAAATTAATTAATTTGGAATAAAAAAATGACTAAAAAGGCAAACAAGACAGACAAATTTTTTAAAGTTATACTCCAAAAAATTTTCTCTCTCTTTTCAGCTGTTAATTTAATGTTGATTTTTAGTGACAAAAATTACCTCTTTCTTGGATATGTTCCATATGTTTAACCGGATCAATTCGCAAATAACGCACTCGAGTTGGTAATCGAAGACTATCGGCCCGTTCAGCGAGCAAAGCTGTTTGTAAAAGTGAATCCAGAAATGTTACCCAATTGCCAGTCCAGTAGAGCATTCCACGTTCTCCACTGTTGCATGCTCGATATATTCCACTAAAAAAAAAAAAAAATTTAATGTCTGAATTGTTACGAAAATTTCAACTGTCCTAAAAATGCATAATTTACACTCTCTAGTAACTCTCGTCTTCATTGTAGCTTTTACGATAAAATAATCCAACTGAATGTAACATTTCCGCTGGAAAAAAACGGAAACAATGAAAGAATAGGAGGGACTTTCAATTAAAAATTTTTCTCAAAAAAGTGAAGCAAAATCATATCTGCCATTGCAGGTTATTGGGAACTAAACCAGAGTTAGATGACAGAATATCCAGGTATGATTCATTTATTTATAAATTCATTCCGAGGAGCAAATGAGAAAAATACAAACCGAAATGCTTGACCATATTCATATCCACGAAGTAGAAATTCCTTATAAGCATCTTCTGTATCTAATTCGATCCGTTCTGCAATTTCAGAGGTCTGAATTTCTTGAATACTTTTGTAGTAAAATGGCACATCTTCATCAACAATACGGATATAACCAGATGCTGCTAGCTGATCACCATCCAAAATTTCAAAGTATCCATTTCCTGGTGTTACAATGACATCCAAACGAACTGAAAGTAAAATGATCATTTCTAGTATCTCATCTCATTATTCTAAACATGAACTTGCACAGAATTCCAACAACTTATCTAGAAAGCAACATCATTCATAAATTCCTGACTTGGTTTGGTCACAATTGTTGCACTGTATACTCGGATTTCTTCCAGAATGACAGGTGTCTTCAGGAAATCCACACCATTCAATTTCGCTATAGTCTTCCATGCCAGCACCATATGTCCAGTGAAAGGATATAGTACACGACCATCAATGATGTGATCAAGCAAAAATGTTTCCTAAACTAATCCAGTAAAGCTATAGTAAACAATTAGTCAGTGGACGATAAGTGTCAGCGATCATTTCATTTATCCGTTATGGTAATACTATATTAATTGTTTGTCCATTAAACTGACAATAGCAAATCATAAAATATATTTTCTTGACCTTTTTTCCCAATTCATTAACTGTTTTGGACTCAAAAATTTGTTATCTCACCTCTTTAAGGTTTTTCCAAGACGGAAAAAGAAAAAAAAATAACAAATGAGTTCCTTTTTCCTGGTGTCTTATTATTTATTATAATTATAATTATTGTTTATTATTTTATTATTTATTCATTATTGTTAATAGTAGTAGTAATAGTATTAGCGTAATCACCATTGTGTTATTAATACAACTATTATTTAAGTAAGAACTAGTGTGTGGTGACTGTTTTTTTAATTGCTGCGACACTATCCGTACCTTCCAGCTCTTTTCTTACTTAAATAAGTTATTTTGGACTATAATAATTGCTAATCAATCTGCATGCAAAAAAAAAAGCATAACATACCTTTGAGTCAGATGAAAACGGATCAACCGTATAACAGTATGATGCTGGCAGTTGTCTACCACCTGCAGCTGAAAGCGTTTTGCCGTCGACAACTGGCCAATCCTGACTGTGATCCCAGCGCCACATAGGAGATATCATGGGTGTACCAATCGGTACGGGATACTGTATAGCTGGATACAAGGCCTCGATATGGATGGTTATTCCTGTCTGGTAAATCTTTCCCAAAGCCTAGAGCGGAATGAAGCTAAATACTTCTAAAAACAACTGATGCAATCACTATAGCCAAAATGTGCAAATTTGATTTAAAATGGAAATTTCTTTTTTTTTTTTTAGTTCTTAGCTATTTGATAGTATTTTATTACTACATAATTTTCAACATTTCAATTTTTAAAGCAATAAATGGAGCATTTTATTTTTGAAAAAATCTTATGTTAAACAACTCTCACCTGTAAAAATGATTCCAATTCGCGATCTTTTTCTTTCATATTTATTAAACCCACATTGGTGCATGTTTTTTGCAGCGAACGACGAAGAATTGAATGCATTAAGCAGTGCGGTGCAATTTCAATTGTTACTGCATTTGCTGGTATTTTTTGAAGTGCTTCATAGAAAAGCACTGGGCTCACAGCATTATTAGTGTGATAATCAGCTGAACACATCTGCGCCAGTTCATTTTCCCAATTACTTTCTGGAATTGAGGTTGAAATCCAGCGCGAGGATCGCGGTTTTGGATTTGGTACGCTTGTACGCATTGCTTTAAGCATTTTATCTTTGACCTGAAATTTGTGGAATTTTTTATTTTTTGAAATTGAAATAATGTACCATTATAACCTTAGTAGATCGATGAAACTACCCTTGGAAGTGCTATCTCAGTTTTGAAGAATTATGTTGGGCCTAATGGATGATATACATGCTTATTAATGCAAGCATGATAGAATTAACTACATCTGTTGTTGACCCTGAGATTAAGATTTAGTACAAAGAAGTTTGAGCATCAAAAATTCTAACCAACGCGTGTATGTGAAATGTGCCGTTAGATGGCTGAAGAAGAGGTAAAAGTAAATACTCCGGGAAAGTAAATACCTTAAGCATAGCTGGTGAATGGAACGGAATTCCTGATGAATCGACAAGTTTTCCAAATATATCTTCTTTTTTCAACTCTTCAACAAATTCCTTAATTTTTTCAGCGTCACCAGAAATTGTTACTGAATCAGCAGCATTATGACAGGCTGGAATAACACCTTCTGGACATCGTTTTCCGGCCTCTTCCCTGAATCAAATTATTTTGATCGTATTATACTATATATGGCAATAAATCTTAAAACTGAATCGAAATTATTTTTCCGTTCCACAAAATATCTATCAATTCTTTTTTCTTTTTAATATAACTTTTTGGAGGGAATTTGTATAAAAAATAAAAATGGCATACATCAATTTAATTAAACATGGTAGCAAATAATATGCAAAAGTTTTAAATCTCTCATTTGTAACAAAAGGCCTGGGTAGTATTAAAATCGATTTACGGGCCTTTTATACAATAAGTTATCAAAATAATTTGGATTTGGCCTCGACTTTCACTCCAGAATAGATCATTATAAGTTTGTGAATCATTCTTTTGCTAATGTATCAACTAAAACATGAAGGCAAGAAAAGTATGTGAATTGCAAAACGTTTCACAACAACCCGCTCGTAAATATAAAATGCCGGAATAACAAAAAAAAAAAAAGCTTTCAAATTTATAATTTTTATGAAGTTTTAATAGCGAAATCTCACCATGACAATCCTACGGCAGCCATACCACCTTTGATATTTGCGTTCATTATTGTATGACCACGGTGATAAGCCAATTGCATCGTTTGTTCACGTGTAAGTCCACCATCAGCATACCCACAACACATTTCACCTGTGGAATGTCCAATTATTCCGTCTGGCATAACACCCAGCAGAAAGAGTACATCTGTCAAAGCAATCTGGAAAAATGATAGCAATTTTGGCTTGCAAATAGGGCTAAAATTCGGGTCATTTCATATGGATGGGTGATATAAACATCAAAAAGTAAAATGTATGAGATAAAACCTCCATCTTCATTTGTCATATAAAATTATTAGAAAAAATTTAAAAGCTGCTGCAGCTGAATTCAAAGTTGTTAAGCAAGAAAAAAAAAAGCTAGATTTAAAAATACAAGCTAAGACTTTGATCAATTACTATTTTTGAGAACAAATTACTTCATACTGATAGCATATAAATCGCTGCTCACCTGTATGGCAGTAATTGCGAGCATACAGTTCAATGTATTATTTTTATAAAAGCTTGGGTCATCACTCTGTAACATCTCGTAAACATTGACACCAAAATCAACGACAGCATCGCTGGAACTTCTCAATGATTCATCAAAAGCAGGTATTGACATAAGCTGCCTGACCATACCGGCCCATTGACTACCCATACCTGAACAAAAATTAGAAATGAAACTAAGGAATCAATATGAATAGCTTATGAGCAAAAAATGAGCTGAGCTAACTATTCCACTCAAAACTGACTTACCTGAATAAATGAAATAAATTTGTTTCGGCTCAGTGATCATTATTTTTTGTACATCTCGAAGAGGTGGCAATTCTGGATCTTTTTTGGCATCTGGTGGATGAGGGATTTTATCACGATTGATAATCACATAACCCCGATACGGTGTATCTTTGGCTGGCAGATTAGCCTGATTTGCCAGTAGTTGTTGCAAGTAAGCATTTTCTGGATGGGCTAAGACACAGTCGAGAATATTATTTACTGCTTCTGCTGTTCTTCCAGAATATGGAATGATTTTCATAAACGTTGTTGGTGTCGGTTTACGCTCTGAATGATTTGCTGGCCGAAGTATAATGTGAGTGTTACTACCACCAAAGCCAAACGAATTGATACCAACTAAACCACGTTGAAATGGCGTCTTTTCGGTAACGACCTAAATTAGCAATCGTACGTAATACGATGGAAAAGAAACGAAAGAAAGCAATGGAATATGATGATATTATGCTTCAATAAACGTGTAAGCTGCTAAAATTGTATATTGTAACCTGCAATCGACCATCAGTAAGGCCAGGAATATATGGATTAGGCTCATTATAATGCAAGTTTGGTGGTATGAAGCCACGCTCCATTGCTATTAGAACTTTTGCAATTGAACATAGACCAGATGCTGGCTCTGCATGACCCATGTTTGATTTAACTGAACCGATAAGAAGTGCAGAATTCCTAAAAAATTTTTCCAAATTGAAAAATAGAAACTATCATCAAAAATATCATCATTTTACTAGCTTACCGATTCTGGCAAAAAACTTGACATATTGCGTTTGCTTCTTGAGGGTCACCAACTTTTGTACCCGTCCCATGACTTTCCACGTAAGTCACTGTATTAGGATCAACACCAGCTTCACGATATACTTCTTCTAGTAATGCTGCTTGCCGTTCACCTGATGGGAATGTAATGCCCTAAAATTTATGACTCTTTACTTGGATATTTGCTAATCTTTTGTTCAAATTCTAGTTCAGAAAAATCTTACACTTACTCTTTTTTTATCAAAAAAAAAAACCCCATTTTTATGTATAAATTCAGAATCTGTAGTATACCTGCTCTTTGTAACCGTCAGTATTACTTTTTGCATGAACAACAGTGGCATAAATTCTTCTGGCTGCCGATTGCCTCTGAAGTAATATTGCAGCAATAGCTTCCGTGCGGCAATATCCATCACCTTAAAATATGCCTTTAACAAGAATCGTTTGAGAATGTAACAATTTCCGTCGTTTTGCATGATATGTCGTCGTTTTACAAGAAAGACACTGAATTAGCCAAAAAGCTTCTGAAACTATTTTAGAGCCTTCATAGTTATACCACATTTACAGTCATACAATCTCGGAGTTTCAATTTTTTTTTTTTTTTTTTCAGTGTTTCGGAACTTTGACTTTTCTACGTATGTGTGTGTGTGGTGTGTTGTAAAACTAAATGGGTACCCGAAGCATCGAACGAACGGCAGCTTCCTTTATCGGAAAGCATGCCAAGCCGGAGGAACTGTAAAGCTGCTGTAGGTGTTAAAGTCAGATGAGCGCCAGCTACAATTGCCGCATCACATTGTTCCTGTCGTATCGCGTCAACAGCTAGCTGTAGCGCACATAAAGATGAAGAGCAAGCCGTATCCACGGAGAAAGACGGTCCTAAACAACATTAATTTACATAAAACTTACAGTTTACTTGTATCACGTAATACAACATGTATCACGTAAAAAAATTTCGAGACACATAATATTGGTACGTCAGGATTTGAAGATTTTGACTTCAAATTAGTTTAATATTACTTCCAACATTCAATATTCCTGTATTTAAATCATTCTCCTTCAATTTGGTAATAGAGATAATTTAAAATGATTTTTCATACTTTTTTTTTTTTTTATTAAAACAAGCATTTACTAAATTTGAATAATCCATAATTGTTTGAAAAAGTTACAGGACAAAAGCAAGTAAGATTTTAGCGCCGAAGGAATTTTTTCGCTAAAAGTTTTCCTCAAATCATGAAGTTCACAACCTCTCAAGTCGAATGTAAAACTAAGCCGATTGCTGAACATTGAGCGCACGCATCCTGTCAATGTATATCCAGTAACGGTTTCCGGATCTTGAGTTAATACTCCACCAGTTTCGGAAGCTGAACAACCCACAAAGACACCTGTCCTTGAACCACGGAGTTCAGTTGGATTTAAACCTGAAATGCACCAAATTACTAAGCATTGCTTTAGTAAGGTACAAATGAACATGCCTTTACTTTTTTTTTCTTCCCTTCCACAATTTAATTTCAATTTTAGTGCAAACCCAGTTCTCTGAAGCACTATTAAGATATTGCAGGTAGACATTATGGATGGATGAAAGAGTTAACACTCAGCCACTATTCATCTTAAATATCATTCAGAATTGGATGAGTTGCATCTTCTATGATAAAGGCGCAAAAGTCCGTCCTTATCATTTATCAGTTCTCACTGTTAACACAGTAGAACAAACGATTAGGAGAAAAGGCGCTATTATTTAAGTACCTTTCATCTCGTTCCTTCCTTCAGAATATTAAAAATGATGTTTTCGTAATTTAGCATAGTCTCGAATTTTTAGGATTTCAGGACTTAAAATGCATGCATTTCGAATCTTGTTTCTTAAATCTAAATTCTGCAGCAATCAGGAAAAAATGCACAGGAGAACAGAAATTTAAATTACGACATCCATCAAATGAACTTAAAAACTGGATTTAAATGAAGTTAATGGAGACTGACAAAAAAAAAAAAGAAATTGACTTAATATTCGAGAAAACAATAATACTTCTACTGATTAGTCCTACTGCATATAAGTTAATGCTCAGAACTATCATCATTTTAGACAGAAATAAATTAATTTCCAGAATTTTGAATTTAAAAATGCCCTTTTTGACAAAAAAAAACGAAACTTCATTCAAATACATGCTAACAACTAGGCCATACTTTAGCGCGTGACAGTACCGCTATTACTGTTTGTTGAAGGTCAAGAAAAAAAAAAGAAAAATTAAAAGCAATCTATAAAAATAAAGTTTTATTACTGTCTCATGAGAAGTAATTGACAATTTATTTTATAAATAATACAACTCTTCTCCAACTTGCCTCTCCTTTCCGGTAGGTGACAAACTGGCTTAACAATCAATTTCAATATCCATTAAATGCATTAAATATTGATAATTGACATAATTTATCAGAGTAAGTTGAAGATAAACTATCTCAAACGTGATTTATGCAAAATGCATTTATACGCTCTACTTGGAAGTAGGTAGTATCATCGTGGAAAAATCATCCTTGAAAATGAGACTAATGATTGTATCCCTTTTGATCTTTGTTTTTAAGCAAACTGAATGATCTGTTAAAATCTTTCTAAAATAGGACCAAAACACTGTTCTCATCTTGTTACACCTGAAGACCTGAAGGATCTAAGACGAAAAGCAAATTTTGATAGTTTTATGTTCAAACATTTATTTACATCTCATTCTACACACAATATTTCGAACATTACTCATTTGTAATGAAACATTGAAAGATGGCTCAGTGCCGTACTTTAATATGATAGTTCGTCTTTACTCTTTCATGTGCCAACCTGGTTGCAACAGTCCATAACGATCTATGGTCCTAAGGTCGGAACGTCGTGTGAGGTGTGAGAACGGAAAAGACAGGGTGCGTCATCATGACGTCTTCCCCTTAATGTGTTTACAGATTGGTGGTGGGAGAAAGACTGAGATTTCGACATTAAAGATCATCGAATGAAGAAGAAAAACATCTGATTTATCAATTTCTATTATTACCACTCTCTATGAAAGGGTTGGAAAGGTATCAAGTAACTTCCGCATACTTTTTTGAACTTTTTCTCCTCCCCATTTTTTGTTTTCGTTTACTTTTTTAACCAACATGCAACAAAAAAACACCATCAAGCCATAAGGAATGATGATGCTACGAAGAGAAATAATCTCATTAAACGATTCTCCAAAATATGCATAAGTGAGAAGAATATATGCACACTGACCTATCTATAGTATTGCTAGAAAGTTAGTTGCTTAAGGTAGAGCGGTATAGTCCGTAGAACATAGACCGCCTCATACGCAACTTATAAGTATACACTGTTTGCTGCTTAATTTAACACACAAACTAACTGATTCAGAAATGATAGAATATTTTCAGAACTGTTCAGAATTTTTTAGCATATTGCTAATGTGGTCACAAAATGTGATTTTTAACGTAAACCATTATCGATAATAAAGGTCTATTCCGCTCACCAGCATCGATGATCGCTTCCAGAGTTACTTCCAATAATTTTCGTACTTGAGGATCCAAATAATTAGCCTAAACCAGTTGAAATCTAATATTTCCAAAAAAAAAAAAGAAAAAAAATGTAAAAGATCGGTAAATCGATAAAAAGATCAGAAACAATGAACTGCAAAAAAAGCAGACATTGTTCTGTATACACTAAGCCTTGAATTTAATTAATGTCTTTTTCGTCCAGACATGTTAAATTATGTACCTGCTTTGGCGTTACTCCAAAATATTGCGCATCAAATTTTTTTAAATCTTTCAATTTTCCATGGCGCTTAGGCAAATCGAATACTCCTGAAAATGAAGCCATTATGCAATGTCATTTTATATTGTTAACACAAAAATTGACTGCTATTGAACAACTTTATACTTATCAATATTCAGTGCAAATTATGAATAGGAAGAAATAAAATATGAAATTACCGGGTGGCCAACGCAAACTATCTTCGGTGACAAGATCTTCACCAGCCAACAGTAAGTCACCGAATTCTTGAACATTTTCACAGCGTGGAAAACGACCAGAAATGCCGGTAATGACAATTTCTTCCTGATCTCGCCAAAATGGCACTTCACCCGATGAATTCATACTTCCGTTTGACTGAAATATCAATTTCCAGTTATTAGTTATGTATGTTATCAAACATACAAGTAATAAAACAACATTGATATATGTAGTTTTGATTTTTGATTGCTTTTTTAACAATTTACATAGAAGCTTCGTCAATACTGCTTATTTTCCAATCTCGATTTTCAGCTTCTTTTCATTTTTCAATTCATTTGATGCTGTGCGCAATCGATGATTTGGTTTAGAAATTGAAGTTTATAGAAACAAAAACTTGAACTCGAATAATTTAATCATATTTGGCATTTTTATTAATTCATATCCAAATATTCCGGATAGCTTTAAATGTCCACTAGATTTAACAGTTCAGTTTGTTAGTCCTGTGCACGACAATGTTCAACACACAATGATGCTACTACCTGAACTGAATAGCCTCAGAATTTTAACGATTGAAAAGTTCAAATAAAATTGAAGATTTCTATGAAGACTAAAAACTGTGACATAATAAAGCAGGAATGTGAGGAAAGTGTGAAATGATAGATAGTCCTCTTCCTTCTTCCTTTTTCAAAAGTATGGAGAAAACATGTTAACTAGGAGATATGATCGGTGACGGAAGAGCACAAAGAATGAAACTAAAAGAAGGTAAGAAATTGAATGGCGTAAAAAGAACAAAAAAGACTAATATCAACATGAAAAAATTGACCGGAGAAGGTTGAACAGCGCATCATTTCCCTCCCTCATCCGGCGAATAGAGCTGAGAGACGGGAGCCAAATGTAATATATGTGATGGTGATTCCGATGGTTCCATTAGATAACAATCTCTTAAAGAATGATCAACTTTTGTATTTCCACTTCCAAATATTTCCAAATTATCACTTTTTAGTTCAGGTCTAAGTTGACATGATACAACTGTACTAAGTTAATTTTTATTTAAAAGTTATGTCAAATTTGAAATGTATGAAAGAAGTCTAAAGAAATATAAGTGAAAAAAGAAAAAAATTAAATTACTATAAATTAAAATCACCAGTCGAAAAAGTAAAGAAAAAGCTGATCAAGCTAATCAAAAGCTAAAAGCACAAATGAAAATTAATTTTAGCTATGCATTTATTTCTAAAGGATGAACAAGAAAGATTTAAGCAATAAATGTTACTGGAAGTACGCATTGTACACTATTTCAAATTACTACATTGTGTCCTAGTGCTTCTTATCTACTGCTCCTCATCAGTACTTCTTATTTGGACATACTTTTAGTGAATCAAAATTGCAATATTTTCAAAAGTTTAGATGAGTAAATTGCTTGCTACATGCTCACCTGAGAATTTTCCCAGGTATAGAAAAATTTCCAGAAAAATGGAAGATTGCGTAATATTGGTGATTTATGACGTATCTAAGTTGTAACACTCTCAACTTCCGTCTTCATCTCCTCCTTTCCTCCTCTCAACTGTCATAACTCTCCTACCGCAACACCCATCACACCATGGTCTTTCTCCCGACAACTCCTAAAAACTCGTCCCCTGCCAAGCACCCAGAAACCCAATTTTGGTTTCCAGCTACACTATTTGGAATAAAAGATACAAGGTCATTTTGTATGAGCCTTTCCACTATCTGTTGAGTTTTTTTTTTTCTCTTTTTTACGAACTTTCAACTTCGAGAATTTGAAATCTCATCAGTACGACCCATGGTGACAATTTTGAATTGTAATACATTATTTAAATTGGAAAAATTACAGAAATGAAAAAAATTACCATAAATAAAAGAGAATAGGTTCATGCAGTAAGTATGTAACTTTTTACTGTTGATTTTACTAAGAGGATAAGTTTCCAAAAATAGAAAATGGAATTGAAAATAACGTTCTTTTTTTCCCCGCTTAAAAAAAAAGAAAGCATTTGATGTCTTCAAAAAATCCTGAAAGGAGGGATGTAATTCGCAAATAATTTGTTAGAACGACAAATCATCACTCCGAGATGGTCCCGAAAGGACATTATGGATGCATCGTGTTTCAACAGTGTATTTCAACTAGGACTAAAACTGGTTGCTGATACAAAAAAGGAAGGTGGAAAATGAAACGAACCGATTCTTATTACAAACAGTCATTGGTACAAGAGGAGCAACCTTGGTAACATCGTTGCTGCAAATTTTAGAAACGGTTCACTGTTGATTCTTATCTCCTGCAGATATATGTGACTCTTGATCAAAGAGCCCTATGTCCCCCACCTCTTTCTCATTTCAAAACTCTTGTTGTTGCTCTCACCCTCCCCTTCCTCTCCCCTCCCTAATTGTACGCAGAAATCTGTTGACCCATAAATAGGGAAATCATTTTAGAAGGGGTTCGCAAATCACCATGACCATATATCTATCTATACAACACATGTATACACACAGCAGTAGTATCACACAATCATCAAGAGTGATGCTCGTCTCCCTTAATATTAAGTAGTATCAAGTACAGAGTGATGTGTTCATAAGTAGTAGTAGTAGTATATTAGTAGTAGTAATTATAGTAGTAGTAGTGGTTATCGTCACCTTTCCAGGCACTTCTAGCGTACGCTACTAAAACCGTGGTTAAAAATGTGGGATTTTGGATGCTTCCAATTTTGAGTTGAAGAAAAGAAATTAGTTTGAAAGGGTACTTGGACAAAAAAGGAAGTGGGATAAGTCATCTGAAGTAATCATGAAAGAAATCGGTTTCTAAATGCATAGAACAAGAGAAAATTTAATTGATAAAGCCGACGTACTGCTGTCATTTCAGTTTATCAAACACGGCTACCGAATTTGACAAAAGTTGTCATCAATCACTACCAGTGTCTCATTATGAAGTCGTCAACATTATTATTATCATGAATTATGACAAACACATCAGTGGACCCTATCGTTAACATACGATTATCATCAGCATTCCGATTATAATCACTGTTGCTTTATCTCTTACTAACACATCCGTGATAATTTTTATCTAAACTGTTGTCATTTAATAACGATTACTTTCATGCGGTACAATAAAAGGAATTTCGGTCGGACTAGTACAGTCTTTAAACTGTAATTTAAATCAAAAATTATCAACTTTCATTAAAATGACAAAATTTACTACCATTTTTTACTAATTTTGACAACATTGAATTAAAAAAAGACGAGAACGTGTTCGAGGAGCCGATTATTTGAACAATTTTGAAAATGAATATATTTCAATCTCATTTCACCTCCGATCTGCATGCATACTTATACACTTCAACGCACTCATTTGCCACTGATCTGGAACAAAGATACAACTCTCACTCCACCTCTAAGTCCAACAGTGCGCGACAAATTCCTGATACAGATAAAAGTCATTTGTTACTGACATCAAAATATGCAATAAAAGTGCGGTGTCCAAAGACAATAGTAGAGAAGCAAAATAATGCAAAGATGAATTTTTGCATAACTTATTAAAGTTGAATGTTATTATTTCTAAATATAAGAATTGAAAAATTGAAAAAATTCTATTTTTCATCCGATAAAAAAAACAGTTACCAAAGTACATATCACAAACGTGAATTTGAAAAACAGGAATTTAAAAGGAATCAGAATCTGGATGGAACATTCAACATTGAAAAAATGAGAATTGATGGTTAGAGTAGAAGTAGTTTGAAAAAAGTGCGAGAATTACGACAATTTCGAACATTTCGAACAGAGTAAGAAGGCGGGAGATAGACAAAGTAGACAGAGGTGTTGATGAAGACATAATCGTTCAGTTATGTGACATATAATAGACAGCAGATTTCTGGATAAATCTAAGAAAATTTTAGGTTCATTTCAAACTTTAAAACATTCAAAATATTAAAAATAATTCTTGAAAAGTTTATCTCATTCAAGTCTTTGCAATTGGCCATTAGATAAAAATGTAATTGAGGAAATTAGAACTGAGCAGTATATAATGGTTTAGGTTTAGATGACGGAAAACGACATCTATTGTAACAAGACTTCCGGATTTTAATATTGATAAGAAAGCAACTGACGGTATTAAGCTATTCCGCATGGAATGGCTGAGATTTTAGAAAACTGTGCATGGAAATCGTAAGTAAACGAAAAATCCTTGCATAGTTCTCAAGTAAACATATGTGAAATTTCTTTTTTAGCCGTGAGAACTCTAATCAGTCAGTTACATCTATCAGGTACCTTGCTCCGAAATGCGCATATTGATAAAAACGTTTTTGAATTATTTTATGAAAAATTTGATAACATACATTGATAGCAGCTGTTCGCAAGATTTTATAAAGATAATTGTAAAAAGACAATTTGATTCAGAAGAAAAACCTAGTACCTGTGAGTCGGAAAGTTCTTCGGAAACACGTTCCCAACCACCAGATAACTGATCCGATTGATTGCTTGATTTCTCCGTGGTGTTGCTACTGTTACCACCACCGTTGTTTGTCACATTGTTATTGTGACCGTTTTGAGTGATGCTATTATTATTGTTGCTGCTATTGCTATTAGTCTTTTCCATGATGGCAAAAGAACAGGAAAAGAAAACGGAAAGCAGCAAAGGAATAAGGTAATGTAAAGCTTAGGATGAAGTTTGCTGCTCCTCAGATCGCTTCAAACTGAAAAAAAAAAAAAAAAGGGAAGCATATCAGGAAAAATGGGATCACATATACAAATCGTTTGCACAAAGTTAACAGCATAAATGATCTTCCTATCTGTCAGCAGTACCTATGATACGACGTAGATAAAACTGCATATGTATAATCATCAGGGAATATGTGACGCAGTTACAAAATGATTCATTTCTCGATATAAATCTATAAATGGATATTCCGGAAAATAAACATTACTAGCTCCAGAATATCGCATCTTTCTAATTTATTAAATAGCAGCTTCCATTAACAGAGATAAATGTAATTATAGGAGTTTATAGAAATGCATTGCAGCAATTGCATCAATTTTAGTAATCTCAGAAATCGCTTCTCTTCCACCCACGACAATATGTGATGTATTTTATGACGTTGAAATATTTTCGATATTTGCTTATACTTTCATTTCTTGTTGATATCCGAAATGGTATGAACGATCACAATTTTTGATTGTTACCGATGGCTGTCATATAAAGAGAGACAAGGTAGAAAAACCAGCTGATAATTAAATTAAACATACAGGACAAAAGGAGCCGTTATCATGTATATTATTAACATTACTTCTTAGCATTCATTAACGATGCCTTCTTGTTTCATATCCGTTGGTGAATATGGTGACAGGAAGTAAGTACAAACAACTTTAATGCTATGAACCTATGCTATGCTACTCAGTACGGAATATTTGGTCAGTGATGGACAATTCTCTTCCTGTGCTGCATAAATGAGTAGGATAAGTCTCTCTTGGATATCAAAAACGAAAAAGGCAGGAAAGTTTGCATCACAGATATTCTTTTAATGTCATAAATTGAGTTCTTCAATCAGTTATTTCGATAAGCAATTAACAGCAAAGAAAGGGTGGAAGAAATTTAGACGAAACTTGTTTATATAGTGATCGAAAAACAGATAGATGCAAGCAGGAAAAAAATGATAGTATCGATTGTCATATAATTTTTGTGTCTCTGAGTACCCAGAACAACGACCGCCTCCACTCCATACTTGAAATGAACACCATCCATCATTTTACCTTAGATTCCATTCATTACCTTCTCCTCATTGTTTGCTTCAGAACAATCATTTTCATTGTTATGTCCGGAATGACCATCCACCTTTACTAGCAGAGTTGGAGTGACCACTTCCAGCATTTACCCTCAAAAGTGTCCTCCCTTCAGCAGCATCATTATCAATGAGGAGAATTAATCATCTGTCTCCTTACTGTCTTGCCCATATTTGTCCACCACTACCATTTTTGAAGCTACTGTTACAATAACTTTAATCATGAATTATTGTTATTATTACTATTATTTAATGTTATTATTATTACTTAATATTATCATCATTTAACACTATTATTATTATCATTATTATTATTATTATTATTATTATTATTATTATTATTATTATTATTATTATTATTATTATTATTATTATTATTATTATTATTATTATTATTATTATTATTATTTTGTTGTCTAGGTCATTGTGTGTATGCGTTGGTATTTCATTCCGGGTTGATAGATTTTGGGACCTAACAAACTGTCACTTCAACATTGCGGTCACTGAGCTCTTCCTAACCCATCTCTACCCTGTAATCCGAAATGTTTATCCTTCCCTCTCTCCATTTGTCTCTCCCATATATCTTTTTCTCAACTAGACAACTAATGGAATGACCCCGGATCAACAAATAATTGTTGCATTATTTGGCATTTGAATGTTCTGATAATGGTTAATTAATCTGAACGTTATTGTGACAAAAGAAGAACTTACTGAAACATGATGCTTGACATGATACGTACAGGCATCAATATTCATTGAAATTTCAAACAATTCTGGAAAAGTTTCACCAAGATCAATTACTAGATGAAAATATTCTTCAATTTCCTCACAGTTCGCTAGATCTACTGACGTTAAAAATGCGTGTTGTTAACCTTAAATAATTATTTTGACTGGAAGAAGTGGATTAAAGTTCAAAATTTTTAGTTGATTAGAAGATTTGATGTCGAAGAAATTAAAGAAATAAACAAGTAATTTTTAAAGACAGTGTGAAGTTACAAAACTCTATTTGCTAGAATAGCTTTTGACTTTATAAAAATTTAATGAGCATCTAAGAAAAAGTCACCTTGTCAATTATTTTAAAAAAAAGTTCAAAACTTTTCACAAACGACAACTAATGATGCAATGAAGTTTCTAAGTGCAAATTTTTGTTTGAATACTTCTAAATTTTGTAAACAAACAGCTAACAGTCAAGTCTCCGTCCCTTTTATGGAAGTAAAAATCTTGATTTTAAATCTAATTTGATCGTTGACAATTTTTTCTCAATTATCTATTTTTCTACCAAATAGAATTGAAATAAATAAATAGTACATTTACAATCGAATCGAATAATCGAATTATAATTTCATCTTATTTGGTTACGGATAAATGAGGAATGCACTGAATTAGCAAACAATTGTCAGATGAGTGAAAAGATAAGCAAGGAAGAGAGTGATCTTTGACGGTTGCTCCAATCAAGTGAAAAAGATCCTTAAAAACAGGTCTTCATTGATATGTAGAGAGCGAGGCAGTTGAAGAACCTGGAATTTGCTTTACTCAGTCTTTCAAACTTGTAATACCTAAATGTTACAGGGAAGATATGAGGTGGTGGACAAGAACGGTTCGAATTATAAGCCAAATATCTGAAGCGGGTCATCGGTTCTTTGGTACCTGGTACCACCTGTTCTTGGTATTTTATTTAGCGACAATGTGAATATACTAGAAAGCAGTGGTACACAAACCGCGATGGCCACAATAACGGTCGAACCTGTTTGGTTAAGGTGTAACTCTGCACCACGCGTACACTGAACGTACCGCCCCTTTCCGCTGTTCTCTACATCTATAAACGAGGTCCAGAGGTACCTCTCATCGCTCTCCAACTCCTCATCCCGGGTCAAAAGTATCAGCAACAACATTACAGCACCTATCTGTCCACCGATCCATCTAGGTTCATCCATCTATTTATATATTCACTTTCGTCCATCCATCAATCTGTCCTACAACCATCCATTTATCCATTTAAATCCCATATTAAAATTAGTTATCTATTCCTTCATGCTCCATCTTGACAGCTTTTTGTTTGGTGAATTACTACTACTACTATTACTACCATTACATGGCCATTGACATTCCGACGAGAAGGCGAAATTGATACATAACAGTGACAAAGCCAAGCGAAACCAATGATGACGACACGACATCGATGATGCCGTCGACAAAGATGACAAGATTGAAGTTTGAGGGAGACGACGAAAAGGGTGTGGCTTGCGGTGACAATGAAGCAGAGAGATAGGTCGGTCGGTACAATAGGTATGTCGAATGAGAAGGTGTCGGTCGAATCGACGAAATCGGTATTTCCAATCGTTGATTATACGCCATTATCACATGATATCCATTGAAATCTTCATCCTGAACTGTCCCTACTGTTCTTTCTCATTTTCAATTGTTTGTCCTTGCACCATTTAAGCAGATGAAAACCATTTCAATTCAATTCATATCGATTCATAAGATTTATCTGATGTGAGCGTTTGCTATTCAAGTGCTCATCATAATAATTTTTAATTGTGAATCAGATTGCAAGAAATATCTGTTAGAAAATTTTTATTAGAAAAAAACACTTTATGAACAAGTTTTTTGAAAATTCTGAAAGATTTAAAACCTTCAAAATGTTAAATTGCGAGTAAGGATGGATGGTAACAATCGACCATGAATCAATGTCGCACCTTTGATGTCGCTGAAATCTACCTTATATGATGAGACGTTTTTGTGTTTTATCGATTTTGTACATTATATCATAATTTCACGATCAATTCAAGCTTGTCTGCTGCGATTCAAATTACTGATTAAGATATGACGTCGTTTGAGGATCGAACTGAATGTACTTGGATACTATGAAGCTAATATTATTGTTGCCGTGCCGTGCCGTGACGAGATATCCAAGCTGGATCTGTCGCAAATGGACAAACAATGAATCAATTGAATGATTATTTGCTACCTGACATGAGAAAGATATGTGTTTATGTGTGTCTTCCTGATATCAAAAACCGCGATCGGTACGACCCAATTTTATTCCATTTGAAAATTAAAACCGAGAGATGACGGATAGCTGCTGAGTTTCTTTGTGCGATTTATCAATGAAGCAATTAACTCAAACGAACCATTTTTAAGAAGGACCAAAAAGTCAGGAAAGGGTGCAAAGGTTTTTTTTTTTCGTTTTAGGAATTTTGTTGCATTTTTTTGTTAAGGAAAAAAAAAATTCAGAGCTTAACTGATTTTTTCATCAATCTTTTAAAGCTGACCATTAGAAGTTTAGAATAAAATGCGGATGTTTTCGGGTTAGAAATAAATTTTTGCGCATTTCATCACTTTTGAGAATCTGTATGTAACCAAAACAATGCACCAAAAACATGTAGTAACTTACTATGCAGCGTAAACCTTCTGGACAGTTTTTTTTTTTTACCTTGTCAATAATAAACTACTGATCTACAAATGAAGTAACATTTGTGACCAATGTCTTCTGACACTACCATTCCCATTTTGAAGTGCACATAACGAATGGCCTTCATTATTTACAAAAAAATCCGGAGACACTTTAGTCTCATTCCTTTCATTTGTCTTCCAGTAGTGGACTTTTCATCCATAACAGACTATGCTGTGGATTTTGTGTCAAAACATTTGATTTATTATTAATTAATCTCATAAACTTCAGTCGAAAATTATCGCTTTAAAAAGATAAAAGTGGACAAGTCAATGGTATGACAAATGTTAAGAAGTGATAAAGAAGATAGCAATATAATTTTTTCTCTAAGAATTGTATCCAAAGAAAAAAAAAATGTATAAAGATAAGGCAACAAGTTTTCCTGAAAAAAACACTCTGAAGTGAACTCCCTATCCAAAAGAACAATTAATAAAGATGAAAGCTAGAGACAAAGTTAATTTGTTCAAATTTCTTGTAACATAAAAGGAAGTTTAAAACAGTATTTCAAAGAATTACTAAACTATGCTATACTATTTTATTAATCCAAAATATGACTGATTTTTCCATAAGATGATTGATAATTTTGGTAAGAATAAGGATCGCTGAACAGAAGCGAAAATGTCTTTACCATCAGTAGATTGTTGATTCGTTTGGTCCTAAAAATAGTTTTACTACTTCCTCTCTTCTTTTCAATCCTTTTAACAGCCCTAAAAAGAATGACTTGACCCTTTCGACGATCATAACATAGTAGTGTGATCACCTTGGTCAACTCTTGCTATTTGCATATGACAGTATGTCATGAAACAATCATTAGTGATGTTTGGAAAGTAAATGCTTTCCGAAAATCTTTCCTTCCAAAAAATAATAATTAAAATAAAGTGTTAGAACTACGCAAATTTGATTGATCAAAATGTCATATGTGCGCAGAAGATAAAACTAATATGAAAATGGACATAAGGGACGGACGCTACTACCTGAACTGAATTTAAAACATACTGAATTAGATGTAAATGTAATTACACAATTAAATGAAGTGCCATAAATGGCTCACAAAGATATTAACTACAGTGTGTAGAGGAATTGGAAATAAAAGAAAAGAAAGGGATGCAGACAAGAGAGAGAGAATTAGTTACGACGGAAAAGAATGGGAGAAGTTGTCGTCGGTTCAATGACTATCGGAAATACGCTTGCACTACCGATCTTGTGAGGGAGGTGTCTTTTATAGCTTGTCATCAAGCACCTTATTTATTACACCTGTCGTCAGTCTTTACAAGGGAAGTTGCAGTCATCAGCTATCACATTTCATTACTTATCTATTTCAAGAATCTTGCCATCTTGTTGAGTTGAGCATATGAAATTGTTGAAGCAAATTGTAACCAACGTACCGATCTTCCCGTTCGGCCACTCTCTTTCCTCATTTTACATGCATCTCTTTCCATATCTCTTCCTTCTTGAAAAAACAGGAAATTTTTATCTGACAGCACTATCTTCCAAACGTAGTAATACCTATTGCCAATTTTTGTCCCACAAAATACCAGCTGTAGGCTGAAGTGGCAAGATAAGAGACGTAAGCAGAAGGGAACAGGAATACATAATTTCACATTTTTTTACATCATTCTGAACTCCATCACCTGTTCCAGTCTCTGCAAACACCTTTTAATGTCGTTTTTAACTTGAAGACACTATATTCCAGCACTACAGTGAACCCTATTTTTTATAATTTCGGGTCAGTGATCAAAAAAGTCCTTCTACACATTCCACATATCTCTCAGTCCTTACGCATACCCATGGACATGAACCAAAAAAAGTGGAGCGCAAACTTGCAACACCAATACAAGTCCCTCTGTATTCCCACAATCACAATGATTTCTTTTTGTATCGGGACTCTTTTTCCATATTGGATAGTATCATACGAATGCATATGGCACCAAAATCCAGATTACTTCAGCTCTCGACACAAGAAAGTCCTGTCCGCCAGAAAGCGCCAGAAACCAAGACATTTTTCCGGACTGTTGTATTCATGAGATTTGACCATACTTTCATAGTTCACCTCATCTCGAAATCTTTCCAGTTTACTTAAAATGGCTGCTATTTCCAAACTATGATATCGAATTCATTTTTTATAGCATTCATATGAACACTGAAATCTGTACAAAGCACTAAGATCTCTCCTCCCACTCGCTTCCAAAATATCATTGAAAGCACACGAGCCCTTCGACAAGTTAAAGCCCACATTTACAGTCATTGATACGAACACTACAAGAAAAAAACTTGGAAGCTTCAGAATTTTGAATATTTCAGCACAGAAAAAAGTATGTTCAAAAACATATCTTCAACAAAAATCAAATGATAACGAACTGAAATGACATTTACGAGGAAGAACATACACAGTAAAAGATGTTTTGATATATGTGAGTCAGAAGAACTATTTCAGATACAAAGAAAAAACTATGAAGTCAGGGAAAAGTAAACATTAGTGGGAAAGAATCTGTGAAATCACCAATACAGTTCGAATCAAATAACCGGTTTTGCAAAAGTTGAAATTCCTATTCCTAAACTTATCAAAAGTACAAATATTTTCAGAAAAAAAACAATGGAAAAACACTTTACTGAAAGGAAGGATTAAGATTCGTACAAGTATTTAAGAAAGGAATTTGGTCTTTGGAAAATCATAAATATTTTGAAACAGAAAATGGAATGGACACCAAGATATCAACTCCAGCTTTTATATCAGTCAATTTTATCTACATTTTAATGAGTTTACCATGAGGTATCATATTGAATAATGTACTACTTGAATTAAACTTATTGACTGCTAACAAAATTCGCTGATCCCTAATCAAGTCACCCCAAAGGTAAACCACACCACATTTGGGACACTGCCCTTGAATCGGAAACAAGGAAGTTCTGTATTCATCAACTGCATTCAAAGCATGTTTCGACAAACATCGCATGTGAAAATGGGATTTGCATGTCTCATTGGCGTGACAACGAAGCAATTCCGAAATCTGAAAAAAAATTTTTTGGAGATTTCCAGATAATTCCTAGTATGTGTCTGCAAATCACAACACCACGTCCATCAGTAAGAGTTCAAACGTAATGAGAAATTACTTTCTGATACACCAGAATTATAATAAAATGCTCATTATTCAGCTGACAACTTACCGAAAGTATTGGCTTTAAACACAGCGAACAAGTTCCAGCAACATCGTATTCTTCCTGCAATTGGGGTATTAACGTCGATATTTTTGTCACAGCACCATGTTCTACAGCAATATGAGAAGGAGGTAGAACATCCAATGGGAACGGAATTTCCAGTTCCTAAATAAAATGTGTATATGATGAAAGCGGATACCTTTTCAACATATTTCTAGTTTTTTTTTTTTTTTTTTTTAAATTTTTAAACCCACAGGTAACAGCCATCGGAATGTAAGTGAGAGACGTCGCCATGGATCGCTATTCAGCATATGACAGGCAATACGCAAACGAAATCCAAAAGCAGTTTCACTTGTTCTTTTCTTTAAATTTAAAAGTCGCAGCCTTCGTGACTTCTCTGGATTTTGCCAAGCCCATTCGAAGCGCAGTGCAGATACACTATTTGGAAAACCATGTATGATACAGACCATATCCCTAAAATCGAAATTTTTTAATCCATTCTTTATTTTATATCACAGATTACAATAATAAACTAATTTGAAGATATCTTTAATCAGAAATAATCGCAAACATTGCTTTTCACAATAATACTAGACATTCACCTCCACATTTTATTCAAAAAGCATGAGAATATACCATGGTCCTCTGTGATCTGTTTTTTTGGCTCCCCCAAATTCTTTCCCAGCGTTATGTTGACGTATACGCCGATTAGGATTAACAGTATAACCAATGTAACAACGATTCTGGAATTATAAATAGACACAGCGTATATTTAACAATTCGATGAACACTCCTTTGAAAGTTAAAATTGTAAATTTAAGATTTAAAATTATATTTAAAATTAGCAAAGCTGCTTGTAAAGACTGCAATAAAGTCATAATAGTTATTGAACACTTGGAATACCTTAAAATATCTATTCGGACTTCGACTCAATAAACAATATACACCAAAAAAATCGTCTAAAATAGATGGTACAGCATAATTTTTTCCACGTTTCTTCCGTTCGTTTTCTTGAATCACCTGGGAATATAACACTTTTAACCCTTTGATGGAATTGATTATTCAATGAACTTCACAAACAAGGAAATACCATTTCAAATAAATGTTGTACAGTTTGCTGTATCACAGTAACGAATTAATGTTTGTTATCCATGTACATTACCGTTCTTAAATTAGATGTAAGTTTACCAGAAAGGAATGTGTATTTTTCATAGTAGTAAGAAATAAATGACTGAAATGTGAGGTAAACAGCACATATGGTTAATCGGCGACTAGTCAGAAAAGTGATAACTCAATACGGCAACTTTTCTGCATTTAGCTCAATATTTTTATTGGCTAAACCAGAGTAAATAGACTTGGCAATGCTGTTCGTTGAAATACGGCATGCATTCGACAATAAGCCATGAAAAAATAAAAAAAAAAAATTTCAGAGAGAGAAACAAGAAAAACTCCTAAAATTACATTAATGGCAAAAACGATCAGAGATCAGAGGTTTGATGTTTTTTAAGACCACTTCTCAGCAAGATGGCAAGTATTAATAATGATACCTCCTCATGCTAGATGGCCTATAACGCCGACTAGCAGCTTTTTTGAAAGAATTCTGGTATCCCTTGATACCCGAAATGATTAGGCGCGGGTTTATTACACGAAAGCGCTCTCCCTTTTAACGTGACAATATGATAAATGCGAAAATGATATATAAAACTATTCATGGCTATTAGTACCGATGTCATTCTTTGTTGAATCACTTACTTCTTGTGAAGACGAACGGCACAAAATTTTTGATGGACCTTGACATACAGGAAGTCTGAAACGAATAATAAAGAAAGCAACAAAAGCCAAAAGTCCAATTTTTCTTAAATGTCGATGCTTGGGATCTTTCACAGAATAAAGAAGCTTTATGTAGAGAAAGTACACAAAATAAAAATTCCTTTTTTAAATGGTAAGAAGAAATTACTTGTCAGAGTATTTCACCCCATTTTCTTCTATATTTTCTTCATCTTCAATGCAAATTATATTTGATTCATCAGCAGACATGCGCGTGCATCCGATCTCGCACTTTAAATTTTGAAATGCAAACAAAATATCCAAAATCCAGGCGAGATCTGGAGAAAAAGCAGTGGAGAAGGGTCACCTGTATAATTGCCGTTTTCAAAAGTCGCTCACTGTTTAAAGACATTCAACACTCTCACTACTTAAGAAAAGTGGAGAGCAGGAAAACAATAAACTAATAAGAAGACATTGATTCAAAACTAAATTTCCCTTTACTGCTTACTACATTTATGCGATAATATAGAAATTTTAGGCGAATTAAAACTAAATTTGAAGATAACAACATAAGGAACACTCTAGATTCAGATCTTTAAAAAGGAACGACGTTCTGAAAAGATGCATTAATGAAGTAAAAAAGGAAAGAAATGGCCGAAAACAACAGAAATTCTCCATTCAAACCGGCACCATCAGCATCATACCATCATCCCTTCATGTTTCACTTCCTATGGCAACTCTCTTTATTTTCTTGAATAATTATTGTTGTGGAAGCACACACCAATATAAGTTTCGCGAGAAACTCTGTTTGACTCATTAAATTTAGCAATAAAAAGTTGTCTAGGAATTAACTATATTGGTAAAGGTAAGTAAGGAATTTACATTCCTATAAGTTAGGGATGTCATTATGTCATTAAAAGTAAGTCAGGGATGTAACTATGCTATCAAAGGCAAACGAGAAGGGTTCACGCTCTCCACCCAACTCAACAGGTCGTAAAAACGCGCACAAAAATAAGTTATTTAAAATGAGCTATATCGCTTCAGGAAGCGACGTACAGCTTTAGCAGCGGCATTACATTGATGTTGTCAGCATTCATCGGGCTGTATGCTGGTACCCGAAGTGACGGAATTTCGAGAATTTGGTATTGTCTCGAATTTGGTAACACTTAGGTGCTTCTGTAGTCTAAGATATTTTCAAGACATTATTAATAGCGCTTGCTAAAGAGTGGTATCTTTCTGTGTAAATGAGTCAGTGTTTTCTTTTTTAGTATTGTATGTTCATTTGCTTTTTTACAACTCCATTTGACTGCTGGGAATACTGTTTAGCAAAGTCATCATTAACCTATATAAATAAAGGGTCCTGAATATGTAAGGTAGTTATTACAGGAAGCAGATATTTGGGTTCTACGTTCTCCTCTAATCGAATTAGTGTTTTGTCATAATTAATAATCGATATCGGATGTAATCTGTTCCTTGTTTTGCGGAATTAAATTTGGATCATACTTCGGGGCAGCTTTGTTTTAATATTCCATTACTGCATTTCTTCCTCTTCTGTTTGGTTATTGCTTGTTTTTATTTTCAGGTATCAGAGAAGTGAAAGATATTGTGTGAAGAAGATGGCATATAAAGTGGATGTGACACAGATGAAAATAGCCGAAAAATTGATTATACTAAATGATCGGGCAGTGGGTATGCTTACACGGCTATATAATATCAAGAAAGCTTGCGGTGATCCCAAATCAAAACCGCATTTTTTAAGCGAGAAATCATTGGAGGGTTGTATTAAGCACATAGTGCGGAAATTCCCCATTGTTGATGCCAGATCAAGCAGTGTAAGTTGTATTCATCATTTTATATTATATCACCATCTTGTTCATATCACTTTCAAAAGTAACTCTAACATAGCTATGAAGTAAGTGACAGTTGGTGAGGTAACAGTCCTTTATCTCCATAACTATATAAATGCTGATTAAGTGTAATATTTTTCTTTTAAGCAGCATGCCATTCGGCATTTATGTGGTGTTTATTCTAGTTTTTGGATAGAACTATATAGTTATAGTGCAAAGTACAAGGTAATCATTTTTTTAGCATACATTTATAGCTGTAATACTAAATGCACTCAAAGTCCATTTAGTATTACAGCTATAAATGCTGTGGAAGGATTGTTGAAAACGAATGTCTGAAGCATTTATGGAATGGATTTTGTAAATTAAAAGTTATTCTAGACGTTGTTTCATCAAGTGACTTTAATAAAGCAAGAAATATTGAAATCTCTCTCGCTGTACTACTGTACATTTGCTGATTTGCTAGATTTGAAAGATCACATCCTACAGCTACTGACAACAATGGATGCTGCACAATTCAAGCTAGATATAGTAAGTTTCTTTTTCAATAAAAAAAGTGCTGTTAAATCTTACATTATGTTTTCGGCAATTAGCATTTTCAACAATGGATACTTAAATGACAGCAGCAATAATTAACTGGCAAACCTTATTACAGACAACGAGTTACGATTTAACAGCAGGCTACATGAATTTGGTGATTAATTTGATATGCATGATGGTGCTTTTATCTCGCGTCGATGATAGGAAGGCCGTTCTTGGGTTATTCAATGCTGCTTATGAACTGAGTAATGGACAAAGTGAACCTACTTTTCCGAGATTGGGACAAATGATTATTGAATACGATAATCCCTGGAAGAAATTGACCGAAGATTTAGGACCTTTAAATAGGGTACTTTTCGTTTTTCTATTTCTCTTTCAATGTATTTGATTATTAAGCAGTGACTTAAATACCTTCTCTCAATTGAAGGAAGACTTCTTTCGTAGTTGGAGAGATAAAAAAATAAACTAACCTGCAAGTTAGTTTTTTTTTTTCATTAGTTAAAGCAGTTGGAAATTCGTTTCCTTCGGGTTGGGTGAAAATCTTCAATAAAGAATGTTGGTGGATGTTGCAGTTAATTCACTGTTCGCTGAACTCGTTAGGAACAGTTTATGTGCGCAGAAATATAACTGCAGATGCATGGCGTAACGCGCAAATGTTATCACTTGTTGCTTCGCCGCAACAAATTCTATACGCTGCGCAAACCGACACGGTATGTTTTAAAAAATCATTAAGATATGCAGGGGTACTTACAGTCTAGGATTATAATTATTTCACTTCATAAATAACTAAAGTTGTGTTATAATAGAAAATCTTGCGTTTCACGAGTTAGTACATATTTACGTTCATTAAATTAACTTTTTGAGTGGTTTAATTTTGACTTACGAAGTTAAAAGTAAGACATTACAGCAATGCATTTCTATGTTTATGTTTTGACAAGTTTCAAACCTTTCAAAGCCTTCCAACTAATCTGGATTTTCGTTTGGAAAGCAATAACTTAAACCCGGCAAAACATAGAAATAGAAATAGTTTTTATTCGAGGTGTTCAGGTTCATGAAGTATTAACATGCTACCGAAAACAGCTTGGGAAAAAAAATGGAACTTTTTGTTGTAGATTAATGACTTTATAAATGCGACTTAGGCTAAGTAAAAATTTTATAGATAGCTTGCGAATATTTATCATTGGATGTTATGGACAGGTGGATAATATGTAAGTGCCGTATTGTAATTTTGCATTTTATGTGAAGCAGTTATCATCAGCTGTGTCGATTATCGTTTAGTAAAAATAGTAAGGTTTGAAGCGACAGGTCTAATTTCATACTTTGATGCGTAGTGGTATACAGTCTTGCCATATTTTTTTTGTTCGAGTATCTCCGTCACGACGAATCAAATGTATGCCAGAGCGACCGTTACTGCAAAAAGGGAGGGAAGTTAAAATAGTGCAATAGAGTTCTGTTGATGCCATCATCTCTTCATTTATGCTGTATGATTGATGCAGTGTGTTTCTTAATGGTGACTACTGGCGTTATAAGTTAGTTGTGTCCTCTGTGATTCGATTCGTCACGGTTCTCATTGACAAAAATTTATGGTCAAGATTCCATCATACTTCGGTTTTTTGCTTTTTTGCTTTTTTTTTGCTGACCCATCCCATATTGCAACGAAGTGTCCAAATCAGATTTGTTAAAAATGTTAAGTCGACTAGCAACACTTATTTTTTAAAGGAAATTTAGCTTGCAGGCATTTAATTTGCAGTGAGTGTTCTTGTTTGTCACAACACACTTTTAAACGATGTCGTAATTGCTAACTTGTGGCAGCGCGCGTTACAAACGGGTCTTGCTATACGTCTTTTTAGGTTTGCCCGGTTTATTTGCTGTATTCCACTTGTGCAAGTGAAAGTCGATTTAATGGAGGAAATACTTTTTAATGAAGAAATTTCTTGTTATATAGTAGAAATTCCGAAACCAACAGAAAATTACGAAGTGCAGTTTTCATTAGTTTAAATGCTTGTAGTCATTTAGGGATGAAATACTTATTGTTCACCAAACGATTCAAAGTGTTTTTGAAAACGTGAAAAGTTATAATAAAAAGCTCCAGGAAGTAAAAGATCACTATTCAGTTGCATTGCAAACAAGGTATCTGCTTCGTTAATGTTCGTTTACTTTGTATTATATCTGTACATGAAATTCTGGTTCATATATTATAATGATAAGCGAAGCAGGTGTAAAATACTTATGTTTAGTCATCATTTCAATTTTTTCCAGCCTTACTGTCCATCGTGATCGGCGTCGTTTTCTTCGAGGTACTTTACGGGAACTTTGTTTGCTAATCAAAGATCAGGTGGGGCTTCTTGGACCAAAGATTTTGTTTGTTTGGATGGCTCTTTCGTTTTCAAGGGATGAAGTAATGTGGCTTCTGCGGCATATTGATATTTGGCCGGTAGGTGGTAATAAGAAGACGAAACATACCGATGAAATAGCAGACAAGTAAGTTTTTAATATGTGTCAAAAGTTGCTTAGTATAATGATTTTTTGTAGTCTTCCTAGTATTTGTAGAAAAATTTCCATTAGATGAATTCATCGAGTTTATTATACTTTAAATTGTTTCGCTCCATAATGTTTTTCTTTCTTTTTTCTCAAGGCAGTTACCTGAACTGCTGTACTACATCTTGGAGTTGCGCTCTTTGGTACAACAACATGATGGAGTCATTAAGCGATACTATTCACAATATGTTACTGGTTATGACGCACTCATTTTGACCGATATTGTGCAGTCAATTGAGAATTTGGGTGAAAAAGAATCAATTTTATTATCCGATTTTTGTGCTGATCTGCCTCATATTAGCCGTGAGTTGATGGCAGCTATTTTTTTCCTTATCATTCTAGATCTTT